AAATGTTTAGCATAATGTTTCTGAAACAGAATATTGAATGTTGTTCACATCAGTGTTTTATAGGAAATGTAAGGAATGTAGATATATCTTGGACAGTTTTATTGGATGGCTGCCCATTTTAACATTCTACTTTATGCAAACTTGCACAATCTACTGACGTTGAAGGAATTTTCGGAGAACCGGTGAACATTCCTGTATTATATGAAATAGATAGGGTTTCAGTGTCATTGATAATGTCATAGGAACAAAAAAATAAATTTTATATCAAGTTTCTTGTGGGCAAATTCATGGCATCGTTTGATTCTAATTATGAAACACAAAATATATATAAAGGTTTGTTTCTTGGAGAAAAAAAAAATTGAACAGAGATTTAGATTTTTCATTTAAATGAAAACATTACAGTGAACTTTCTATAGTATCATGGATGCTTATATTTCCAGATGTTGCTATACAAGATGTTTTTCCAGTAACGATATCTTGAAAATGAGGCACAAGTATGCAATTCTTTTAGTGGTTAGAACCTTGAAAAAGGGCTTTACAAGTAATTCCTACACGCACATCAGTAGAGCCATATACATACCAGATAGACTGGTTACAATGAATTGATTTGGAATAAAAACTATACATTTGACTTGTAAAAGTAATTTTCCATTGACTCTGTGCTTTTCCAAGAATACATGATTTGGGTTACAAGTATTATCAAGTTTAAAATTGATCCATGTGACCTTTTTATTCAAAGGTTAGTAATGTCATAAAGCAGGAAGTCTTTGATTGCTGTTTTACTAGAGTTTTGAGCTACAGAAGAAACTAATCCTCGTTTTCCCATCCAATAGGAGATATTATCCTTAGTGTAATGCTTTCCATCGATTTCCAAGGCAAACATTTATTTCCATAAGGGTTTAAATGACGACTCTCCTGCCAAGAACTGTATTTGTTACATTGATCATGAATGTTAGTGTTGGTTTTTTTGTGACAAAATACATCACAACCTGAGCAAATTTTATGTTGTAATAGAAAATGTGGTTTTCAAAATGATTGCGCTTTTATAAAAACCAAATCTTAAACATTGATAAATGTGTTTTATTTTTGTTTTGACAATTCTTCATACAACTGCTATTATTATTGTTATTGTTGCCTTACATTGTGGGAAATGCAAGTGCACATTCCACTCTGTAGTTTGGTTTTGTCCTTGTAGCCATTTCAAATGTTCTAGATACATAGTGACCCAGTTCTTGTTGGGCTTGACTGCTGTTCAATAGATATTGTACAGTCTAGCCAAGGTAGCTTCCTTTGAACTGATGCCAGCCGTATACTCGAAGTCTTGGAACATAGGAGAATGAAGATTTGATTGAAGGAGTCACTTTTTGTTTTAAAAGATTTCAAGTTACATTACAAGGATTGCTGGGAAATTCTGAACAAGGATATCCTGTAAAAGACCAAGTACAAACCTGAAGCTTTTTTAATGAATTCTACTTAAGTTTGCAATTATCTCTCCATATGGTTTGAAATTTAGAATCAGACATGTCCAAGTGATTCAAATATTTTATTTCATGTTATCAATTATTTTCCAGTATTAGATAAGGTGCTTAAGATTGGAATAATGAATGATAGAACAAAAAATTAAATGTGATCTGAATTTAGTATTGTAAATTAGCTGATAATATATTCTCTTTAATGACTGCCATAAGCTACTTTTAGAATTATTAGAAATGAAAGCCAAAACCAGTCTTCTGTTAAAACTAAATTCTAGATAAGATGCTTATATTTCCAGATGTTGCTGATACACTAAATCAAATTAATCTGGTAATAATGTTTGAAAGATTAATTTGTTCATGGAACTTTTTCTGTAAAAATCATCAGTATGCATTAATGAGTCTGGCATATATTTGTATGTTTGTACACACGATGCATGGAAGATTACAATTTTTGCCAAAACAAACACCTGACTCTCCGTCATACTTGTTTGTTTCGTTGATCTGTCTGATCCTTGGAATGGTTTTGGAATATTCTAGCACTGAGTGATGCAGCACGTACAAGCTGCCCTCCTGCCCACTGATATATGTGTTTCTGTTTTGATTAATGGTAATGAGGTAGTCATGATGAAACTATCAAATTTCTCATTGCTGAAATCATTTGACATTTCCCTCCTCTTAAAACTTACCGACAGGAGTAAAAGTATATCAATTTTCACCACAATTGGATTAGGGATTTATAGAGACACTGACTACGGTACTACAGAGTAAGGCAGGTGGATTTTGTCCCAATTTCTCTTGTACTTAATCTGATGGTCAGACAGATAGTTAGTGTAAACCACTCACTTTAAAGTTTCTTTATAGTCTCCCTCTAAGTTAGTGGAAATTAGGGAAAAGGATTGTGTCTGCAAAATGAAATAAGTCCAGTCTCTGCCTGTCTCACCAGAATCACAGTGTCCCAGATGACTTCATTGTTCTTATAACAAGTTCCAGGGGACAGTGGGTTAGTATGGTGTCTCTAAAAGTATGATGCTTCAGACTAGACTTCATGATTGTCTTATAACAAGTTCCAGGGGACAGTGGGTTAGTATGGTGTCTCTAAAAGTATGATGCTCTGAAAGTATGATGCTTCAGACTAGACTTCATGATTGTCTTGTAACAAGTTCCAGGGGACAGTGGGTTAGTATGGTGTCTCTAAAAGTATGATGCTCTAAAAGTATGGTGCCTCAGACTAGATTTCACGATTGTCTTGTTACAAGTTCCAGGAAACAATGGGTTAAGTCCAGTGTCTGTCCCACTTAAAGTGTGGTGTCTCTAAAAAGTATTGTGCCTTAGTCTAGGCAAACTAGACATTATGATTGTTGTAAAAGAATTCCCAGGAAACAATAGGTTAAATTCAGTATCTGTGTCACTCTCACTAAATGTATGGTATCACAGACTTTCATTTAAGGCTTCATTGTGTTAAACCAAGTCTCATGTTAATCTCAGGTTAAGTATTCACATCTAGGGGACAGTATGCTTGTTCTTACGCATATACTGGAGATATAAGATAATGAAATTTGTAATTTTAACACTTTGACTACGTCTTGTGTTAAAACCAAAATTCATCATCTAATCTCCAGCACATGCATTAAAACAATCATAATCTCCACATTCTAAAGTAATTTGAGTCTAAAAATGATGTAATTATCCCAATTTAAAAAAAAAAAAAAATGATAAAATAACAAAAACTAAGATGTGCACAGTTTTGTTTGAACATGTCACTCACATGTTCCTTTGCTCCTTTCCCACTTTCCAGTCAAGTTGTCAATAGATTCGGGTCAAGATGTAGGTTGCATTATCTGTCGAAACTGTTGTTTATATTGATTTCGGGTGTACATACCCAAACTTTGTCGTTGTCTCTAAATGTATCCAGTAAAGGTAGGAGAAAATACCATGTGATTTTTTATTTTATGTTTATGTGTCACTTCATTGAAAATGTCTTTATCAACATTCTGACATTACTGATTCACGTTGTGAGGGGAAAAGTAAATCAGAATATAAGGATCGTCAAACTCTCCACTTCACGTTTTGATGACACGTTTGGGTGTGCCATTAAATGATAAATTTCTCTTATGTTGTTCTTATCCATCTGCCTCAAAAGGACAGATGACCTCCATCATTGGGCTAGTTTCAGTATTCATGAGTATACTGAGGATTAGATCATGAGAATTATCCAATGGAAAAATGTGTTACATAACCACTACTTTAGAATATGTGTTAATGTCCCCACAGATTATAATTCTCCATTCTCAGACAAGACATGTACTGATACAGGGATCTAGATATGAAGACTCCCAAGTGTTTTCCTTTATTGGTTCCTCTCAGAAAAATTATTTGTTCATATAACACTACATTTGGGTTATATTCAAGAGCATGTTGATTTTAGTGTTTCTTATTCACTGTTATATATTGTTTATATCTGAAAGCATTCGTCTTATCACCTTTCAAAACGATAAGGTTTTTAGATGGATTGAGTTTTCTGTAAAAATCTTTTTGAATCTGTCCTGGTTGAAGAAGGTAGATTTTCTGAGCCATTAGAGATGAGATAAGGTTAATTTATAAGGGTGAAACTGTCTGGCTATGACTGAGAATGGATCCTCGGTGTTGTAAATAATTAACACATGTATTTTGGAGAAGTCTGAGGGTAAAAGAGTGTTGTTAGCCATGTGTTTCTGAAGGTTGTATATAGTATGTTGGTTAATGATCTGACATGTGTTTTACATCATAGAAAACTTTCTCGTATCATTTGTGTGTATATTTATAGCGTATTTATTTTACTGTGAAATTTGCTGAAAAATAATATTTAGTAGATTTTTGATAGTTTAATGCATATTTATGTAACTACAGCCTGAGATTGAATGTTTCTATCTGTTTCATCATTTTGTCCATCGAGACCTAAATTCCACACGATCCATTTCTAAGCCATCTAGACTAATGGACAAGCAGTATTTAAGAGCAGGATATGAACTCCTGTGGTAGAAGATGGACTTAAAATCACAAAATATGGATGCATAAATTTCTAAAAGGCAATGTAATTAGGGACATTAAGTTAATTTTGCTGTGAGTTTGTCTCTGCTTAGTGATTTTAAGGACTATTAGCAGAAAGTTTTGGCATGTCAGGAGGCAATCTGTCACATCCTAAATTTACGAATGCTTACACTGATCCTAAACTTTTAGAATTTAAAGACTCATTTAAATGCTTGATATGAAAGAATTAGTTTCCCAAAATTACATATTCATGAAATGATATAATGTCCATTTAAGATCTTTTGATTTATTTTTATCAATAGTTGATTTTATTAATAGTTGATAGAAAATAAAATTTACAAGATATCAATTATGACCTTTATCATGATACTGGACATTAATGTATGTAATTCTGTTGGTTTTTTTTTTTTTATTATTATTATCTCTGATTGCTTGATCTAAAACTTCAAGGGAAACAACTGAGTAAAGAAATATACATTTAATTCTGATATGTTTCAGTCCCAGGGTAGAAGTGAAATCATGATGACATTGGAAAAAGTTGTGGGTGGTGTTGGATCGGCAGGAAGTGGAACCTTCAAGGATGTATACAAAGCCACAAAACAATGCATGACTGACCGGGCTATGTCTGTGAGATTTGCTGCAGCCAAGGTAGGTAACTCTTACTGATTAATCTTCATAACTGTTAATTCCTAGATGCCAGCTGTCTCCTCTCCATTCTGTTTGATAATAAGAAAATCTGGTTTCTCCAGTGTATTTTCTGATACCTCTAAGAAATACCCTCTCTTTTAAGGTTAATAACCTAACCTCTTCAGCATACATACATACATTTTTCCACCCTACATATCCCACCTTTTGAGCAACCCAAACCCCTTTATAACATACCTTTCTCATGTAGGTTCGTAGGATTGTTCCCCTCCTCCAACTCCTTCTCATTAAAAATCATAAATTAGGTTAACATACCCTATCCAGAGTACCTCCTCATTGTAAATTGCCTTACCCTATTTGTATATTCGTTCATTAGACAGCATGAACCTCTCCTGGTTACATTCTCTTGGTAGACAGCCTGAACCCCTCCTGGTTACATTCTCTTGGTAAACAGTGTGTCCCCTACTGGTTACATTCTCTTGGTAGTCAGCCTGAACCTCGCCTGGTTACATTCTCTTGGTAGACAGCCTGAACCTCTCCTGGTTACATTCTCTTGGTAGACAGCCTGAACCCCTCCTGGTTACATTCTCTTGGTAGACAGTGTGTCCCCTACTGGTTACATTCTCTTGGTAGTCAGCCTGAACCCCTCCTGGTTACATTCTCTTGGTAGACAGTGTGTCCCCTCCTGGTTACATTCTCTTGGTAGACAGTGTGTCCCCTCCTGTTTACATTCTTGTGGTAGACAGTGTGTCCCCTCCAATTTACCCTCTAGGTAGGAAGCCCCTCCCTCTCTTGGTTAATTCCTCTAGGTAGGTAAATCCCCCTCCTCCCCCAACATCATTTTCCCTACTATTTCCAGTGAATCATTGAATAGGATAGCAACAAACACATAACACAGGTGCAGCTTTTAATTCAATTAGTTAATTAGTGATTACTCAAGGATGACAAAGTACAGAGGTAAAATTGGGCTCTATTTCTAAGCTATAAATTAGTATATGTACAGTTAGCCTGTAAGTGTTGACTACATTCTGTGATCATGCTTTACCGAGATGGTACAGGTGCTGAGTAACTCATTGTCTCATTACAGTGTTAGGCCATTATCACAGTCCTAATTGACACCGCAGTAGGCAATGACGTAATAGTAATTTTGTTGTTAACATAATAAGCTAAAGTTGTCTATACATTTGTGCCTTAATCAAGAAGTTGATGATTCTGACCTTGGCATAAAGATTAGGTTTACCTTCAAATGTTTGATTTTTCCTGTATTTTCAAATTCTACTTCTTAATTATTTTTTCGTTCAATCAATCTTTGTAATGATGTATGATTATTTTGGAGGAAGTGTACACAACAAGGCATAATGAATGAATTTTATATTGTCTCTTTTCATTTCCATCCTTATTCCATAGAAGTACTGTTAATGAAATAGCTCAGTTTTGTTTCTCTCAAATCTTTTAATGCTAGTTTTGAGTGTATAATGCATAAGCTTGTAAGCAATGTAATTCAGAAGGTATTGAGCCCTTTATTTTTACGCTGTATTCCTGTGTTTGTGTTTGTAGTGTATGTACCAGCTTGTGAATGAGGCTCCTTTCATGTGTACAACGGAACTGGAAACTGTGACAGCTCTCAGCTTCAGGTCCCTGGATGGCTCAAACTATGATGTCCGCTGTGCAATTGCAAAACTTCTTGGCAATCTCCTGGCAACTGCTTTGTCACCCAAGACAGTTTATGGTAAGTTATTTATACGGATGTTTTCATATTTTATAGTTCCATATTAAACGTTTTTGGAAATTAATGCCAAAAAGAGTATTGCCCAAATAAAACAAAGATCGTTTGACATTCTGCGTACTGTTACAGTTCAGACTTCCTCTATTGTTCCCTCATCAGTTTAAAGTACTCAAAACATGTATATATGTGGTGGCTTCAAAAAATGTTATTGACTGCTACATTCCTTATCCTGTGCTGAAATTGCTCAAAAGACTTAATTACGTGCATACAGTCAATTATTTAAACAAATTGTTTGAAAAAAAAACAGTAATTATCATTTATCTTAATGGTAATTGTGTTTAAAGAAGATGATGTACAAGAGAATGGCTTTAAAATACTTTCTAATTGAATCCCCAAGGATCAACATAATAGTGCCGAGCTAACAGAACGGACCTGTAGGTGTTGCTGATGTTGACTTCTATCTTATCTTTACTCTTTACCATGCGATTATTAGTCAGCTCTTACACACGTGTCAAGAATAACGTTTTTCTCACCTTTGAAATTTTCCGTCTTTACAAATCTGCCATCAGACGAAGGGGCAGCAGATGTTACCCATACCAATCTGGCGTGGTCCTTTTCCTTGATAACTTCAATTTCTTATTAAATACTGAAAACTTTGTATGCAGTCAGTCAACTATGACAATACCTGAGATGAATTCGTGTTTCATGGTTCAAAGTTCAAGGTCAAGATCATCATATGTAAAAACTAATCCTTCATAGACTTTTTTTCATATTGTAACATCAAAACATTGTAACATTGTACTATTACAACATAACATTCTGTTTGTACCAGTCGTGACTTTGTACCTTACAACACTATAAAGATGTGATATTGTACCCTTTAAACTCTGTAACATTGTGACATTGTACCATTACAACACTGTAACATGATGACATTCAACCATTACAACACTGTAACATGATGACATTGTACCATTACAACACTGTAACATGATGACATTCAACCATTACAACACTGTAACATAATGACATTGTACCATTACAACACTGTAACATGATGACATTGTACCGTTACAACACTGTAACATGATGACATTGTACCATTACAACACTGTAACATGATGACATTCAACCATTACAACACTGTAACATGATGACATTGTACCGTTACAACACTGTAACATGATGACATTGTACCGTTACAACACTGTAACATGATGACATTGTACCATTACAACACTGTAACATGATGACATTGTACCATTACAACACTGTAATATGATGACATTGAACCATTACAACACTGTAACATGATGACATTGTACCATTACAACACTGTAACATGATGACATTGTACTATTACAACACTGTAACATGATGACATTGTACCATTACAACACTGTAAAATGATGACATTGAACCGTTACAACACTGTAACATAATGACATTGTACCATTACAACACTGTAACATGATGACATTGTACCATTACAACACTGTAACATGATGACATTGTACCATTACAACACTGTAACATGATGACATTGTACCATTACAACACTGTAACATGATGACATTCAACCATTACAACACTGTAACATGATGACATTGTACCGTTACAACACTGTAACATGATGACATTGAACCGTTACAACACTGTAACATAATGACATTGTACCATTACAACACTGTAACATGATGACATTGTACTATTACAACACTGTAAAATGATGACATTCAACCATTACAACACTGTGACATGATGACATTGTACCATTACAACACTGTAACATTCTGACATTGTACCATTACAACACTGTTACATGATGACATTGAACCATTACAACACTGTAACATGATGACATTGTACCATTACAACACTGTAACATGATGACATTGTACCATTACAACACTGTAACATTCTGACATTGTACTGTTACAACACTGTAACATGATGACATTGTACCGTTACAACACTGTAACATGATGACATTGTACCATTACAACACTGTAACATGATGACATTGTACCATTACAACACTGTAACATGATGACATTGTACTATTATGTTACTTAAGAATTGATTGTCTATTTTGTTGCTTGTATGGTCTGATGGATGAAAGTGAACCTTGAGCAAATGAAGTACCAACTCCCATCATGAATACAAATATATTGCTTTGCATTGCTAATGGCCTGTGGTAAACAGAGAACTTGATTTAATTTAAACTGAAAGTCATTATTTTCCTTACTTCCTTCTTTCAAGAATAAATAGACAATGTTCGCACAAATTGTCAACTGTGTTGTTAATCACGCCTCGACTGTGATGGTGGTGAAGATATCAGCGTTAGAGTGTAGCAGTGTAGATGAGAATCTATTACAATCAATAGCAGGACCCATAACAGCTTGTGCTTGTCTGTGCTGCCTCTTGAGCCTGTAATGGTCATAAATTTGTGAGGTTATGTTAAGATCATGTTATGCCAACATGTGATCAGATTTTTAAAATGTCATGCTGTTCATGCGACACATGTAGTCTATGATCAACAAACTCAATAACATACTGATAAAAAGTTATGTTAATGAATCTGTACTCATCCTAGTTATCTCTCTGATAAAAATGATTTTGTTTATTTAGTGGGGATTTTTAAAATCATTTGTTGTCTTGTGATAATGTAGGAAACAAATTCATACATTCTTGTCTCATTTTTGACCAGGCACAGGATCTGGTATAGACAGGGAAAGATTTTTAAAAATCTAGCATGACAGAGATTTACCAGTACTAGATATTTTGTTTTTAATGGTTTAGAAAGTGTCTTACATCGACAGTTGTTAGTTTACAGCATTTCAGTTCAAAGATCTGCAGAAAACGTAATGCACAGGTATAAGCTAATACATCAAACGAATCCTTATCTAATGTTAGCAATAAATTTGTTTACAGTAAAATTGCGAGTCTGTAGCCATTTAGCTCTGGTATCAAAAATTTATGCGTAGATGTGTATTAAAAGATAATATAACTATATTTTGTCAAACCAAATTGTGTGGGGTAGCTGTGAAATTATAGTGTTTTATCAGTTTACTGTGTATTACATCAACTAGAAATCAATAATTTACATTTGATTCAAGCATTCAGCTATCGTATACTGCAAAGCACTAACAGTAAATATTTCATATCAATTAGTTCGGTTAACCTGTGTATCATGTTGGGTAAAGTTACATATTGTAGGTAATTAAAGGTTCTCTTTTCATGGGTAGATTTGAATTGTGAAAGCGTTATAATCGAAATAGTCTTGGAAGATGATAAACTTATTGGGTTCTGTAAAAAACATCAGTAAATTGATTAATTGTGACTATGATTTAGAGCATTGTATTGTGAGTGTGATGTCAAATCACTCTCATTGAAATAAGAAAATTGCACCCTTGCTTTGTTGAACATTACACCATCATAGGAAACACTGTATAAATCATATAGTGGATGTAGAACAAAATAAAAGTTATCTACAACTTGGCTGGCTTACTTAACCTATCTAGACACTTCTTTACTGTATTGCTTCACAGGATATAACTGCTTATACATCATTGTATCTGTTCTATATTGATAATAGAATCCTATACAAGTTGTTATCTTCAGCTTGGCTGACAAAGATATCTTTATACTTTACTGCCAAGCAGGATATTACACAAAACTATCTCCTGTGAAAAGAAGCCAGATCTTAGATCTAGATGATTCAATTTATCATCATTCTATGGATAACTGTTTTAGAAAGGAAGAAGTTTCAGGCATATCAAGTGTTATTTTGTAATATTTCGTCGAGCTTTCTACTGTTTTGCCAGTATTGTATAATGATGATTGGCGGCAAATTTTACTTGACATTGCTGTGCTAATATGATGTAACTTGAATAATTTACCAGAAATAAAAAAAGTGATGAGTGGAAGTAATATAAAGAATATACTTTTATAATGAGAAATACAACTTCTTCTTTTCCATGAATGTTGTTCTGTTCCAGTCTAAATTGATTCCTTTGTGTAAGGTGTTTGGGGAGGTATCTCACCAACCTGTAGCAGCTGAAGTCCGCCAAAGCATTCCTTTGTTCTAATTAATTTGTCATCAGTATATGTACAACTGCATCATCATCCTGCAAATGAAGCATTAACTAAGATGGGTAGTTATGATAGGAATTTGGTTTGATATTCTCTATGTTTGTTTATTTGTTTACAGGAAAGAACAAGCAGCCAAAACTTGAGGAAGTACTGAATCTTCTAGCATCAGGCTTCATCAAGGGAGGTTTTGGCTTTTTGAAGAGTTCCACAGCAGGGGAAATGATTAAAGGCAGTGGAGCCATTAATAGAGAGATTCGTGTTGGTGTCACCCATGTAAGTATAAATGTTTGTCTTAGTTCTATGTTCTGGACCATCTCATTTGTATTATGTGTAGTACTCTATTTAACAATGAATTACACATAATGAAGTTCTTAGCCAAACCATATATTTAGCGAAAAATTAAAAATTGCCCAGTTGAAAACAATATGTCTAAGGTGTCAAGAAAATCAAATATCATTTTGTACAGTATTGGATGAAGATTCAAAGAATTAATAATAGTTCCTGATAGATTTATGTACAAGTCTCTAGAGATCTGTGTGTACAACCATCCATTACACATTTTGTAGCATCAAATGAACACCACATTGACATTATTTGTTGCAGGCATATATTGAGTTTGTTAAGTGTATGGGAGGATTGTGGCTGGAGAGAAATATTTCAATGTTTCTCAATCATGTCCTTGACCTTGTGGCCAGTCCAAAGTCGACACCCACACATGTTGATGCAGTATACGCACGGAAATGCGTCCTCTTTATCATCAGATCTTCTATCGGAGGTCTGCTGGGTGAAAAGGCCCAAATAGCTGCTGCAAAGGAGATTTGCCAGATCATTGTCAAACAGATGAATGCTGCAGGTACTGTAAATGTAACCAGGATATTTAATATAATTTTAACATATTATTAATCTTTTGCAGATTAGTGCAATGATAATTTGCATATCAAAAATAATTGCTGTAGAAACAACATACAGACACTGCAGTTAGCACCATGATATTTTAGCACTATACTTTTAGGGCAAAAAACTGGAAAATAACACAACTTTTTAGATATTTATATTGTAGTTATATATACCATATGGAAAAAAACACTAGTTATGTCTGCAAAGGCATGTCAGGCATCTTGACTGCTCCATTTATAAAATTTGTTTATTACTAAGATCTTTTGAAAGAAGAAAAAAGGAACTATCATGGAGTTCTGGAGGAAGTAATATTTTCATCTTTTAAGATTCTTGTTAATCAAGACACAGGTTTGAATTAGCGGCAACTGGTATTCATTTTTTTTTTCAAATGCTGTAGTGTGGTAGATATGGCAATATTCTTTTTCATGTAGACAGAAAATTGCATGCATATTTGAAGATGTGAATAGTCTGTAACTTAGAAAACTCTTTAATTACAGGTGAAGCAGTGACTGACTCTGTTGATGGTAAATCCCAGAACTGGGATGTGATGGGAAGTCAGCATGTTCTTGTGTGTGCTTTACACGAGCTAGGCAGCCTAGTACTGAGATTAGGTACCTCAGCCAGTCCCCTGGTGTCAGAACCTGCCACCGGTAAGTACAGAGCCAGTGTCTATACCAGCTTAAGGGTATATGGTACCTTTCTGTGATATGCACTCTATAAAGAGTCCTTTGTGAATAACAAGTAAGACCTAGTTAAATTGATGACACATTTGAAAGGTCAACAAGAATTGATAACAAATCATAATTAAAAAAAAAACATAAAAGAATGCTTATATTTACACATTCATATAATACATAATTGTTAGGTAAGTAAATTATTTTTAATTTTAAGGGAAGTAACTCTTACCAAGTTATCTTTATTCAGTTTAGTGAATATAGCATCCAGTTGCAATTTTGATATAGTATCTGCTTTTTAATCTCAAAATTTCTGTTTAGTCTCAGCTTTTTGAAAATAGATTTAGAGAACATGTAAAGAGTAAAGAAATACAGAGAATTATTTCAAAACAATACGTCAAAGGTCCTTGTTTGGATTCACAGGTATAATTGAGCCAGTTGTGTCGGTGTTGATCCATCCTTGCCACGCAGCCCGACTGGCCGCCTCCTGGTGTCTGGGTAGTATCTCAGTGGCTTTACCCTCACAGCTTACACCACTCCTAGATCGTTGTGTAGAGCGCATGGAGAAGCTGAAGTCCTCTCCAGAGGCTGTGTCTGGTTACAGCAGTGCTCTGGCCGCTCTACTGGGCAGGGTGTACCAGTGTCCATTGGGTATCCCTCACGGCAAAGGCAAGGTAAGAACTGATGTCCTACAAGGCAAGATGCATTAAAGTGCCTACTTGGTATTCTTTATGGCAAAAGCAAGGTTAATACCGCTTCCAAACAGGGCAGGGTACGATAGGGTCAAATGAATATCTTCTACAGCAAAGGCAGGTCCTGCCACCCTACTGTGTAGGATGTATTAATGTCCATTTAGAATCTCCCACATCACAGGCCAATACTGCCATCCTACTGGTCAGGGTGTACCTGTGTCCACTTGGTAATGCTCATGTAAAAAAATGAATGGTCAATTAAGAGTAAATTTTAAGTTACTATTAAAGTAATGGAGAAGTTGATTAATTAAGTAACCTACTCACCTTAGTATTGCTATAAAAGGTGTACTGTACTTGAATGTATTAAGTTGTGTATTTACGACTTTGGAATGTCAGACGGAACCAATAATCATCAAACATCTGTTAGCTCTCAAAAGTACATTTTCCTCATTAAACAGATCGGCTGAGCAGTTTCATTTTGTTCAATTTTCTTGCAGGTATTTTTTTTTTCCTTATTCTCATTTTATCGGGCTGTTATCAAAAGCATCCTAATTTTCTTAATTAATTTTGGCTTATGAATTTTTAATCTTTTGAAAATTATTGGTCTATGATGAAAAATCTCTAAATCAGTTTAATGCTTTCTTGATCATGTTGAAATTGCTTCTCATTTTATAGCAGTGTTTATTGATTTTATCAACTGTTTTACAGCACTTGTTCAGCATAGCTGAGGAGTTACTGCGGACAGCGTCACAGAACAGTCGTCTTTCATTACAGCGAACACAGTCTGGGTGGCTGCTGCTGGGCTCACTAATGACACTAGGTATAGACATCGCTACATCTCTGTGCTGACATAAAATTGTGTTAAACGTCACAGGAACTTTTATCAGATTTTCTAGACCCAATCAGCCTGTTTAGTGATCACCTAACGTGTTTTAATTATTTAGCATAGCATTTTCTTCTTGGTGTCTAACACCATGACTGTTCTCTCTGAAGTATTTACCCAATCGTCTTTAGCTACAAAGAAGTACAATGAGATGTCTTTAGTTTACATGTTGAGATATACCCTTGACACCCAAAGATATAAATTGGTGATTCTGAGTTCCGTTATAGAAAACTTTACTGCTCCACATATTGAATGTGTTTAATGAATTAATGTTTGTTTAAAAATAAAAGTACTTTTGAACTTACTGTTTAATATATAACTATATGTCTGTGCATACTGTATACCATATAGCCAGTATTTTCACAGGGATGATATTTTCGCTATTTTGCAACACATTGATTTGACCTCAGAAATTAGATTTATGAAAAATGAGACATGTTTTAGATATTCTTTTGTATTCAGACTGCGAAATTCTACATTCATTAAATTATTTTTCAATCGTGTTTTGACCTGTGGAAATTACCAGCCGCATGGTAACCAAATATCAGTCTGCACTTGATCTAGTCGACCTTTAAGATTATGAAACAGAATATACACAGATCACCAAAAAGTCTGGTAACTATAATCCCTGTCTTTTAATTCCTCTAGGTAAGAGATATGTACATGATCATAATCTTTAACTACCCAAATCTTTCATGTATGTAAGTACTTCTTTAATGTAATAATTTCCCATTCAGGTGCCCCTACCCTACAGTAGTAAGGCACCACTTTCTTGGTCATCAGTTCATAGACATGTACCATGGTTTAGTAACCCTACTTACACTTCGAGTCTCTCCTTCTAGGCCCCCCTGTTGTGAGGAACCACCTGCCACGTATGCTGTTGTTATGGAGGAATGCATTCCCCAGGTCCACCAAGGAACTAGAGGCAGAAAAAATCCGAGGAGATTCCTTTACATGGCAGGTCACACTTGAGGCTCGTGCAGGTGCCCTTGGGGGTGAGTTTTAAACTACAAAGCTGTGCTCATACATAATGACTATGTGAAGTTACATAAGCATTAGAATGTATTAAGTAACAAAGTTTTTGGAAGTGATTTCATAATCCCAAACCTGAATGTGTATTTAAATTAAAATTCAATCTTATCACTAAAGGATGTGGGATAAGTGATTTCATAATCCCAAACCTGAATGTGTATTTAAATAAGAATTAAATCTTATCACTAAAGCATGTGATATAAGTGGAACATGTACTTTATAGGTTTGAATGTTTTAAAACATCTTGTACATGGACTGATATTAAACTGGATTTGGTGTAAATATTCATCTCTTGAGTTTTGTAAAGAGGAGATAAAACAAAACATAATACTTAATCAGACAAGAATAATCTCCAGTTGGAGAAATTTCCGAAAACCATGATCCTGCTAAAATCATATGTGTGCTGATGTTCATCTTCTTGGCTTCAGGAGGATACCTAGTAGTATACAGAGGTCTCTTAAAAAGTTGGAAACAACTAAAAACCAATAAAAAGAATAAGAACTCTTGAAGCCAGGTAGGCTATTAGCATATTCTACTTTTCGGCAAAAAGCTGTAGAAAAAGTAGAATATACTCTTTGCAGACCTGGCTGCAGGTGTTGGTGTTCTTTTTTTAATTTCTTAAGATGCGAAACTCAAATTAATTGATGTCGTCTTGTTTTATCTTAGCCATGTATAGCTTCCTGCAGCACTGTCGTGAACTTGTCACAGAGGATGTAATTCGACGATTGTTGGCGCCACTGGAATGTGCTCTTCTGATGTTTTCACAGTAGGTTCTAATCACAGTCGGTGGAAACCTATATATATTATTAACATGGCGTGACTTTGATCACCAATCAATAATGAATACTGTGCTGCTAGCAGTAACACTTGCATAATTACATAACCAGTGTTGCATGCCCAGTACAATGCTGGTTTATAATGTACAGTAGTGTTACACATCAAAGATTAATTACACTAGTGTTAATACCAGCGTGTTGGAATGTTGGTATTGATTTTCTGGACATTAAACAAAAACAATATATTAATGAAGTATGCTTGATTAGTAATTTGATTAACAGTGTACATTTTTGTTTTTGTTTTTTTGTATCAGTGTTCTTCAAATTGGCCAGTGTCAACCTTTTTTTCATTAAATTTGATATATAAACAGCTCATGTGAAGGAGTGTAGTTTTCTGTGTATAAACCTTAAAAAAAAAAGATTTTGAAGATTCTAACAAATACTAATAATATTTGAAAGACTTTTCATTCATTGGATCATAAGAATTGCTTAAACTGGTTTAAATAATAACCTACCTTGTTCATCCTAACCAGCTTACCAGGTGTGATCAAACACTATGGCACCCAGCTGAAAGCCTGTGCTGCCATGGTTCGACTGCGGCTCTATGATGTCCTTTGTCTATTGCCTCCAGAGTCGTTTGAAGGTACGGGGGTAAAAAGGTCTTTCAGAACTATAGAACCAATGTAGTGAAATAAGCAGTGAAATAGAATTCAGCCATTGTGTGTTTGATTAAGATTTCTTTGATCAAATTGTAAAGTTTGAAATCAGACCTGTATGATGGATAGTGATCTTTTGTACTCTGTAACAACACAAATACCAGGAGTATTCAGGATAGCAATAAAAAGATACAAATGATACGAATATCAAGAATAATGTCAAAAACAAAAAAGACTGCAATTTGTTGAAGAAGGATGTAGTGCTGAATATTGAATGTATAAATTGTGAGTTAAGTACAATATCGAGAAATACCAAATAAAAGTAAAAATCTAACTAATGATAATCATTAATAAACTTAATTACCATAAATTTGTTTGATCCCCTGTTCCAGTCTAAGTTTTATTTCTCAGCCATTCATACTGTATTACAATATAAACATGTTTTTCCACAGGCACATACACTATGTTACTGAGGGAACTAGTGGCCGAGTTCACACTAACAGACAATCCTGCCAACACCACTACTTCACTGCTGCGGTCAATGTGTCATGTGGACGATAGCGTTATTCTGGGCTCATGGCTACAGGAGACTGACCACAAGGCTATAGAGGACCAGGTAAGACAAACTGATCAGAACATCACCCCTGACCAGATCACAAGTTGTGCGGTCAGTATGCTACAGATTTTGCACAGCTATAGAGTGTGTTGTATAATACTGATTTCAAATTATTTGAATACTTCTATGAAACAGCTTTCATTAAAACTCCACAGTACAGACTTTTGTTGAAACAAGTTTTATTGAAAAATATTTTCAAAGAAAGAAATTTTACGTCAACCATGAGATATCACTTTAATCATTAATGAAATATCACTACTTTTTTCTTGACACATAAAATTTGGAGATGATTTCTTTTTCAATTTTCAAATATGATCTCAGATTTCACATGATTTAAGAGAATACTAAAGAACCATTATTAACAGAGTTAGAAATTAGAAGATTCCACAAAAAACCATCTTTAGCTTTAAACTTTACTGTGGTGTTTACAAGGATATGGATTTGCACAGAATTAGCTTCTATTGATATCATAATTATGTTAGCCTGTTTTGAAATTGACACGTTTGATTAATGGTACAGAGAAAATTTGCAGTCTCACACCTTCCTTTTTTTCCGATATATTTAGTTGACTGTTATGATTTTAGTTTGAACCCAATCGTAAAGTGGATAAAGACATAGTAAGTATTTTGGGAGCCATGTCTTGACCACTGATAGCCATCTTGGTTTTTGATGCGGGAATGCACAATGGTTTTTTTACAACATTGTTTTCTTTAGATTTATTGTCTTTAAAAATGCATGGAGACCATTAGCATATTTTGCCAGATTTTTGTCCTGATTAGTCGGGAAAATCCTGTGTGAGGAATGTCATCAATTTCCATGTTTGCCTAACATGTGTCAAATAAAGCCGATATTCTAACATATGCCTCAGATTGTCCTTTACAATATATCAATGAAGAAAGTAACGTCAAGGAAGGAAGCGTTCCACTACATGTTACTAGTAAAAGAATTCATTATCCAAGCTTATAATAGTGCAAATACAGCATGTATGCTTCAGCAATAGCAAAGATTTTAGATTAATTTGACAGATATAATATTATAGTTACAGTTATAATAACCTGTATTAATGACACGTGTGGCAGCAGAATCATGGATAGCTTTATTGACATTTAATGTGACAGTGTATTTATGGAAACAGAAGAACCTAACTTGACTGACATTGAGTATGATTGTGAAATTATGGAATGAGGAGAATCTGTCTTTACTGACATCAAGTAGGACAGTGTAATTATGGAAACAGGAGAACCTGTCTTTACTGACATTAAGTATGACAGTGTGATTATGGAAATAGGAAACCTGTCTTAATGACATTGAGTATGACAGTTTAATTATGGAAACAGAAGAACTTGTGTTTGCTGACATTAAGTATGACAGTGAAATTATGGAAACAGAAGAACTTGTCTTTGCTGACATTAAGTAGGAAAGTGTAATTATGGAAACAGGAGAATCTGTCTTTACTGACATAAAGTAGGACATTGTAATTATGGAAACAGGAGAACCTGTCTTTACTGACATTGAGTATGACAGTTTAATTATGGAAACAGAAGAACTTGTCTTGACTGACATTAAGTATGACTGTGTAACTATGGAAACACAAGAACCTTGTCTTTACTGACATAAAGTATGACAGTGAAATTATGGAAACAGAAGAACTTGTCTTGACTGACATAAAGTATGACAGTGAAATTATGGAAACAGGAGAACCTGTCTTGTCTGACATTAAGTATGACAGTGTAATTATGGAATTAGGAAAACCTGTCTTGACTGACATTAAGTATGACAGTGTAATTATGGAAACAGGAGAACCTGTCTTGACTGACATTAAGTATGACAGTGAAATTATGGAAACAGAAGCACTTGTCTTGACTGACATTAAGTATGACTGTGTAACTATGGAAACACAAGAACCTTGTCTTTACTGACATTAAGTATGACAGTGAAATTATGGAAACAGGAGAACCTGTCTTGTCTGACATTAAGTATGACAGTGTAATTATGGAAATAGGAAAACCTGTCTTGACTGACATTAAGTATGACAGTGTAATTATGGAAACAGGAAAACCTGTCTTGACTGACATTAAGTATGACAGTGTAATTATGGAAACAGGAGAACCTGTCTTGACTGACATTAAGTATGACAGTGTAATTATGGAAACAGGAGAACCTGTCTAGACCGACATTAAGTATGACTGTTTTACTATGGAAACACAAGAACCTGTCTTGACTGACATTAAGTATGACAGTGTAATTATGGAAACAGGAGAACCTGTCTAGACCGACATTAAGTATGACTGTGTAACTATGGAAACACAAGAACCTTGTCTTGACTGACATTTACAGTGACTTTTAAATCAGAATAACTGGATCATTTAATAATATTTAAATGTTTATCAATAGCTTTTCATGTTTATAAAGAAGGAAGAACCAGCAGTTATACTGTCAAATATTTAAACAGTATTTTACCCAATATACAGATACATCTTATAATCCTGTGTCAGTAAAGATTTTGTTATAATAGATACAAGTTTTTAATACTTGTGTGACCAGACAAATATAGAAATAAAGATTATCAGGCTCCTCTACAAGTGCTCTATCATCTCTCCCTGTAATATCCACATGTATGGTTCTGTTCATGTGGAGTCCTACATTGTGTGAAAATGATCATACAACATATATCATTAAAGCCCATATCATCAATATCATGACCTGACCCATACAGTTGTACAGGCCTAAGATTAAATACTCGCAGGAGATAGTTTGATTTGCTGGTGATTGGTGTTTTAAGTTTCAGTAGAATCAAATGCTATGTAGATTATTTGAAGCATTAGTACAGGTAAAAATGAATGAATACATCTTGAACTGTTCTGACTGACACCTTTGTCCTAGTTTCCTTATCTTTGCGGGTCTTTGAGAGTTTTTCATCCTGAGACTGTAAGTTTCCTCTGTATACTGTATCTAACTGCTGTAATCTTTTCCTCAGTCTCCTGTGGCTTTTGCATGTCCATACTTGATATAGACAACCTTCACATCAGAAATATATTTCCCCGACTGACAGTTCATCTGTACATTTATACAGACATCAAAACATCCAGATTTGCCTTTGTATTTTGTCAGCATTTTGATTTCTGATCAGAATATTTTGCATGACATGATCACTTTCACCAAGGATTCAATTCTGTCCGTTATCTCACATAAATAATGGTTTGAATCTCAGTCTCACAATGGAATGAAGCCATAACAGATCCAAAAATTAGGACTAACTGCATTTTTGAAGTGATTGTTGTGACCATGTCTTGTTGCTTATATATACCATACAGAGTTCAACACTCAGAAAGTGAAATAATCCTCCGACCTATGTGACATCGGTCCTTGACCTTTATGTCATTGGTCCTTGACCTTTATGTCATTGGCCCTTGACCTTTATGTGACCTTTGTATTTTTGAATGAGAGTATTTCAAGAGTTGTGTAACTCTGCAATACTAAATCCAGATAATTCTCAGAAGAAGCATTAGCTTTAAAAAGGAAATTTTCATCATAAAGTGATTATATTTTTTAATAAAACTATTTAGATCACTAATAAGAGATGTTGCAGCAACCCAGAACACATTTTTATGGAAATTTCATTTCTATAGCATTATCATATTATAACAAAAATTATCATCTCTTATTTAAGATACATTTTGTTTCCTATACAGCACTGGAGTATTAGTCATATTAGAAGCGTATATGAGTGTTTAATTTTATAGTTGCAGCCTAACAGTGCGTCAGGTTCTGGAGCCCTAGAGCATGATTCACAGTCACTATACGCACGTTATCCCCCTGTAAGTATATTACTCCTGATACACACAAGATATTATTAAAAGTTATTGCCTTCAATTAATTAATAAGTGTATATTTTCTTATGTTCACTTAAAATATTACATGAACTAGTTGCTTGAGCGTAACTCTTAGAAAAGAAACAGCAGTCGTTCATACAAGATAAAGGATAAAGAAATTGACTGATAAATATGATTTTGAACACATTTTGATTTTTTTTATGTTAATTTTTTTTTTAACTTTTTTATACAATAAACATCGATATTCCTTTACAGAGTGAACCAATTCCAGGTCCCCTTCCTCTGGGTGTGGCTGTGATTGACAGCTCTGTAAAGCTGTATGGTCTAGTTTTTCCTCGGGTGGCTAACAAACACAGATACCAAATGCTGCAGCACTTCAATGAGTGTATAAAGCAGGCTAAGGCATCACGTCAACAGGCAGTACAGATGAATATTTTCACTGCTGTACTCTGTGCTCTCAAGGTAACAATTACAACTCCCTAACAGTTGATATAAAAAAAGAGAGTGGGGAGGGGTTGTATTTTCTAATGGAAATAGACTTCACAAGATTATAGCTCTGCAGAATTATATGAAATATTGACTTGTGTGAAGGATCTTGATTTTTTTATATGCTAAATCAATTGAAAAGGGGATACGTTTCAAATTATGGCTACAAAATGCATAAATACAGATAACCTTGTCCAAGAAATCTATGAATCTAATATGAGATAAGATATGGTTATGAGTGATCAAACTGTGTTTACATTTTTTAACTACATAACCCAAGTTCTGATACTTGATACTGTGTACATTTGTTCCTTATTGTGGAAGACTGTATTCAGGAACAAGTTGGTAGATGACGATTTTGTCACAATATTAAGGTGAATGTTTTGTTGATATGCTTTTTCATCCATCTCTACAGAGTCTTTCTGATACAAAATCCAGTATGGGGCCTGATGAGGTGAAAAAAGCTGCATTTAATCTTATCATGGTAAGTTTACCATCCAATTATCATCCATTTTAATTCATCCGGTTTATTATTGTGTATTGTATGTGAGCAGAGCCAACTTTATCCTGTCTTTTGTATGTGAATGTGGCAAATCTTTCCCTATATATTAATGTGTACTGTTTATTACAGGGAGCCCTGAGCAGTACCAACCCCATTTTAAGATGTGCTGCTGGAGAGGCATTAGGTCGCATGGCACAAGTGGTGGGCGACAGTCGCTTTATTGCAGACATGGCCCAGTACAGCTTTAACAGGTACACAGCTTTTCTGTGTCAGTCGGTGAAACAATCATTCTGTTTTGAACTGTAGGTGTGGTCTTAGTAGCTTTGTAATTGAATTTTTTTTTAGTTGATAAAAAACTTTCTTGTCAAGAGATTAAATCTTTCTGTAAATTAACATTAAATTTTCTTTCCATGAATTAGAAACTTGTTGTAAATATAATTAATATATTTTGTGATATCAGTTGTTGAGACATCTGGAAATCAAATGGAATTGATTGATATTTTCATTTTATTTCAGTTTAAAATCAGCACGAGATGTGGTCAGCAGAACAGGTCATTCCTTGGCCCTGGGTTGCCTCCACAGATATGTTGGGGGTATGGGGTCTGGTCAGCACCTCAACACCAGTGTTAGCATCCTGCTAGCTCTGGCTCAGGACTTCAACTCTCCTGTGGTACAGGTAGGTAGTCAGCATGTAAAGTCAAGACAGAAATAAAAAAAAAAAATACAAAATCAAACAATGATAGACAAAACGGTTGTTTTCATTAAAATCCTGTATGATAAAGTATCCTGTATTTGAACACTAATTGTAGTTATCCAACATTTTTCTCACATATTTCTTCCTTGATGTAGGTTTGGGCATTACATGCCTTGGCCCTGATTGCTGACTCTGGGGGACCTATGTTCCGTAGCTATGTGGAGCCCACACTATCTCTAGTGTTGCAGTTACTACTGTCGGTTCCACCATCTACTGTGGATGTCCATCAGTGTCTTGGCAAGTGTCTCTCTGCCCTCATCACATCTATAGGTCCAGAGCTACAGGGTAAGTATACCAATATATCTAAATCACCTACAGTGTAATCAAATTGAAAGATATTTATTTTTTTGATGGTTCAAAGAAAGATGGCAGTTACTAAGAGTTGATAATTACCTTTTTCAGGAAACAGTTACTAAGAGTTGATAATTACCTTTTTCAGGAAACAGTGGGTCAATTGCCACAGCACGACTTTACTGTCTGGTGTGCTGTGCCATTATGCAGGACCATCCTGACTCCCTGGTGCAGGCTGAAGCCATTGCCTGTCTACAACAGCTTCACATGTTTGCACCACGTCATGTCAACCTCACCTCTCTTGTCCCTCATCTCTGTGTAAGTAGTGTAGGAAACTATTGGACTCCCAACTAGGACTGCATGGTAAACAATGACTGTCAATTTGAGCTAAATATCGGCTACATTTTAACTAGCCATGGTATAATTTTGTAATTAAACATGAGTTTTGATGGGGATACTCCATGAGCTGAAAAAAAAACCCAACATAATTCAGATCTGCATTAAAGGCGAAACTGAACACAAAAAATGACATTTCATGTGAAAAATGTTTCTTTGTCTTTTAAAACAGAACTTGTTTTGCTCAAGTTAATAATATCAAACATTAACCTTTATATAGGAAACACTCAAGAGTGCCCATTTACTGTTACGAAGAGCTGCTGTTGCCTGTCTACGCCAGTTGGTCACACGAGAGGCAGAGGAAGTCAGCGAACAGGCTCTCAAAGTTGTCCATGAGACGAATAGTCTTTACTCAGCACCTGCCACAGCTGCTTCAGTCAATGAAAATGGTGTGGAGGGACAGCTATATGGCATGCTTGACACAGAGATCGACGGCAAGTTGATCTCAGATGTACAAGACACATTGGTCAGTCTGCTTCAATCCCTTGCCACTCGCAACCTCACACGCTGGCTCATGTTACTGAAGGAGGTGTTGTCAGCCTCAACAGGTAAACACAAATTTTCTAGTTCTCTTATTTGTCAGTCTGTCTGGTTCAGAAAGTTTTCTTGATTTAATATGTCAGATTACAACAGACTTTTTCATATAAAAGACAGTGTTGAGGTAGAGCATCATCCAGCATCTAATTTATGGATAAAGATATTTTTACATGATAAAAGACTGTAAATCCTTTGCTGAGCTCATTATTGTTGAAAATATTTCCAAAATCCTTTCTCTTACAGGTAAAAAAGTCATTGTAAAGAATTACTGTATAATCATTATTTTTCGTTGGGGATTTATTTTCGTTCATTTTGAGAGCACTCTTCATCCACGAATTTATAGTCCACAAGATGTTAGATTAGTTTAAGTAGATTTGTTGATCTATATTTGTCCATGAGATCAGGTGTCTACAAAGTAATGATTTTTCAAAACCACAAAATAAAGTTCCTCAAAAACATGTGATTTTACAGTGAAGTATAGCCAGTTATTTTACTGTGAAAGATAATTCCACTATTTCACAATATATTGATATAACTGCAAACAATTTCATTTGTGATATAATGAGACACATATGGACATTTGTTAAATACAATTTGATCCTATTAAAGCAAATTTCGAAAATTTTCACCCTTGAAAATTACAATCTAAATGGTATCTTGTAACTGAACCTCCAACCAAATCAAATTTATGGTCAACATACTTAACTGTGCTGCTTTAGTAACCATCTTGTTGTCTTGCAGACACAACCAGTAGTTTACAAGAAGGAACCGTGGATGGTGATGAAGACAAGGATGAGGAGTATGAAGATGAGGATGCTGAGTTTGAATTCAAGGCTACAGAAGCTGATGTTACACATCCAACAGTTGCTCCTAGGTACAGAATCCCAGAAACAGATATTATTACAAGTGTAACTGTTTAAAATGTCACAACTTTGCACACATATTTATTTGTATGTTTTTTTTTTCTCTAAAACTGCCATTGGTGAAAATAATGAACCATGCTCATGGATAGTTTCCTCTTCATTCATATAAGTAATATTTGCCATGAACTCATGGCGATGGATACAGAAAAATTTTGAAATGAACGATGGAATTTTCTCTGCAGTTAGAATTTGATCTCAAAAATTGTATTTAACTTGTATATGATTGTTTCACATTGGCTATAGAAAAACTTATATCAATTGTGAATGTCATTAATGTTGCTGTTTTTATCTGGATAGATGGCCCACACGAGTGTTTGCCACAGACTGCTTGAGAAAGATCATCATAGCGTGTGAAGTAGATGAAACTCACTACAACCTAGAGAAAGCAAGGGAACTGAAAGCAAAGACAAATAATGGTAAGGGGAGTCCATACATCCATGCTTTAGATTGTTATCAAAGTATTTGCCAAGCTAGAAGCTGAAATGTTTGAAGATGGTGTCTTAAATACATGGTATAAATACCATACTTTTGAACTGTTTTGGGTACATATAATTTGCTAGGTTCAAATGTATAATTTTTCTATAAGTTTGAGTAACATTCAGATATGTGGCATTCTACTGTAATGATAATTCTCACTCTACATTCAACCGTTATATACTAAAATGTCTTGCATCCATGTATTAATGTTGCATCTGTGATCTATAGTTATGTATCAATATCCACTCTTTCAGTGAACTTCTTAGTGCTACACCTGTCTGAGTTGGTGCGGATGGCATTCATTGCTGCCACGTCTGACAGTAACCAGTTGAGGTTGGCAGGCTTGTCAGCACTACAGGTATGTTTTAACTTCAGAAATGAAATTTCTTTGAAGGAATTTTTATATTCTCATGGACATATTACATTCTTAAGAAATTTTTATTTATTGTGAATGAAATCAAGTCTGTTAATCACAGTATTTTCATTATGATCTCTGTATTGTGACAGGATGTGATAACAAAGTTTGCAGCTGTACCAGAACCAGAGTTTCCTGGTCATGTGATATTAGAGCAGTACCAAGCACAGGTAGGGTTCTAATATTGTTGTAGGGATATAGGTTGAATGTTCATCTTTTGTAATACTACCATATAATCTACTATAAGATTTAGTATAGGCCTAAATAGTTCAGAAGGTCTGATAGTGCCAAGAGAATGATAAACTAACATTGGAACATTGATAACCTCAAACTATGGACACTGTATTTATTTTCCTTTTTCACTCCCAGAATGAAACACATAGTCATAAACTTTAGATTTCTATTTGACAATAGTTAAAACAAGAATGTTAATTTGTTTTAGGTAAGTGCTGCCCTGCGGCCAGCTTTCTCTCAGGACACGCCCTCAGATGTTACAGCTGCTGCTTGTGATGTAAGTTTATACAATAACAGTTATTCTACAAGTGTCTTTAATAATAAATCAATATGAATTTATTCCTCTGATTGTAAACTGAACTAGATGTACTGAAAGGATATGCTTTGATTTTATGAACTGAAGCTCAGTTATTTGTAGACAACTTTGTTTTTTTTAGATTGAACATTTAGGTAATTGGTTGGAAGTTCTCAACTAAAAAGTAAAAGATATTAGTTTCAAAGTTAGATAAAATGTTTTCTAACCATATATTTGCCTTTAAAAGGTGTGCAGTACATGGATAGGTAGTGGTGTTGCACGTGACCTTAACGACCTGCGGAGGGTTCACCAACTTTTAGTGTCTTCATTGGCCAAAATGAATGCTGGGAAATCACAGTCTATGTTGTATAATGAGAGTGCTGTTACCATGGAGAAGTTGGCAGTATTACGAGCATGGGCTGAGGTGAGACTTTACAGGAGTAAGATAGTGTTAGACTCTCTGTATGTCAAGAATTTAAAAATGTTTCATTTGAAGTTTTTTTTTTAGATTATCTAGATAGATGTTCAAACAAAAAATGAGATAGAAAATTTGGTGCTAGTGTCATCAGAGAAATGTTCTGTGGAGAAGTGAACCATCTTACAATAAATAGTAGTGTTGACATATTGGAGAATACAATATGATAGAAATATACTGCTTCAGGACAAACAAAAATTTTCTGGGTAATATGTACCAATGGGATACAAGAAACTTAATTCACAATAATAAAGCAGCTTAGATTGATGTTAATACAGCATTCCAACATGTTCCAACATTTGTTTTCCTTATATACCTAAACATCAGTAAAAATTGTTTGACATTTAATTTATTTTCGTTTATGTTGTGTATTAAAAGAGTAAGGTAATTACAGTATGTTTTGTAACTTATTCCAGGTCTATATAGTTGCTGTGGAACGAGAGAAGACAATTCAACCAAAGGCTAAGAATGAGGAAGATGAGTTTGGTGACAGTGCCAGAGAAAGTCTGTTGTCTCTGGTACAGCCAGAGTTACCCACACTCAGTCAGAACTGGTTCAATGCTCTTAAGGACCATGCCTATCTATCATTGCCTCCAGGTAAATTTCAAGCTCTACTCCCATTTTCAAGGATATTAACTTTACCTATATGTTCAAGAGGGGGAAGATATTCTCTTCTTTTTCCTTTCACTTGGTGAATTTAATTTCATCAGCTATTCTTTGATTCAACAGATTGAAATGATCTGTGGGATTTATTTCTTCCTCTAATTTTTTTTTTCTGAGTGGAAATTAATTGGACATCAAGTTAAATTTTGCACTGTTTCAGAATACTCTGGGCAGCTCCCATCCGATGGTGGTATGTTTTACCATCCTGAGACAGTGGACTCAGCTCGTCCTCACTACAAAAAGTCATGGCCATCCATCCTTCATGCTCTAGCAATCTGGCTTGATGAATCATCTTTCTTGCAAGTAGAAAAAGACCACAGCAATGAAGCTGCCAATGAGAAGAAGCCAGGAGGGCTTTCTCTAGCACCAGCCAATGCTCCAGCTAACATGAACCCAGATCAGATTAATGCAGACAGATTATATCTTATTCTGGGTACGAACTGCAAATATTCAGCAAAGAATAAAAATACATATAAAACGGAAATCAATTTGTTGATTGTAACTGAATGTAAAATCTTGATTTTAAAATAAATCTAAAAATTGTTCTTTGTATTTAAAAATGATGGAAGATATGAAGTCGATAATAAGAATTGACTCTATTCCAGGTATTTGTATGGAAGCACTGTCCAGTAATATCATCGTTATGTCAGAACACATGGTAAACAGTTGCTTGAAAGCCTTGTATGCCCTTCTGAATCCCAGCTGGCCCCGTAAGGCTATGGGTGAGGACCCAGTGCTGTCACGCGAACTCCTTAATGTCATGCACAGGTAAGGCAATAGCATTTTTATTCTTCTTCTTCTGATACAAGTCACTTTTCTTGGTTTCCTGTAGTTTTAGCTGATAGCTGTGAAATAATTGGTAAAGGAAATCTTGAACAGTAATGTTAAATTAGTTGAGAATTGATGGGATTACAGTTTCTTTTTAGATTTTAGGATAAGGTTGTATACAAATGATCACACAAGAATATGTGCAATAAGTCCATGATTCTCCAACTGTAAGGAATCTGTAAATTTTGATCTTATGTATAAGATGGGTGAGTCATGTTTGATCATTTTGACTTGACAGAACAATGTTGACAAAAGACAGCATCAGCACACAGCTTCTGGCTATTGAGGTGGTAAAGCAAGTACTATGTGCAGCCAGAGAAAACCTCGACAACGAGAAGATCAAAATCAAAGGTAGGAAAGCTAGATTAGAAGGAGACAATTTTTCTTTGTGACAAAACTTACAGATTTAGTTGTGAATAAATCAGTTTCTGCATTTAATGTTATGAATGTAAAAGAAGTATGTCACTGTAGTGTATGTATATGTTACATAGAATATTTATCTCAATCACCGTTACAGAAAAGGAGATTGAGACTCCAGTAAGCACTGCTAGCAGTACAGATTCCATGGACACAACAGACAGTACCCTACAGTTAGGGGAAGGAGGCGAGGCTGGGGATATTGTACCCGGCAAGTCTGTGGTATACGCCACCCTTGAGGTGTGTCTGTGTGCCATCTCTCGCCAAATCCCTGCCCTCAACCCCTCCACCCCTAGTACAGGCTTCCAGGTTCCCACAAGGCTCACCAAGATGTCGGACGAATCCTGTCAGCTCATTGCCAACACAGTCCTCATCCTTACAGAACTACCAAACCTGTGTTCTCCTCAAGGTACTCTTTTCAACTTTTGATTAAATGCAGTGTAATTGCAATGGTTTTATAGTTATATGTGTTTTCAAACAGTTTGAAGATTGGGATTTTAATTGTTAAATAATGATAAGTTCTTATGGGGATATTTTTATCAGATGTGTCGGCTTAAGGGTGGCAATGATCTTTTGACAATTGATTTTAAGGCTCCATTTGATGATATTAAAGAAGAATCTTGCATATGTTTGAGATCATACATAACTTTAAACACTTATCAGTGGTACTGACTGATAAAAAAAAAACTAATTTGCAGAACTTAAATTTAAACATGAAACTTTGTATGGCATCAAACCTGCCTGTAATACCTGTACCTATATAGGTCACTATAGAATCAGTGGAATAGACTCTATGTTTCTGTAATTATGTTGTAGCCAGAAAATAAATGTTTTAAAGTTGACATGTAATTAGTGGCAGGATGACCAGATCTTTGATAATCATTGTGTTACTTGTTGCCTCCAGGGAGTGTAGCTATCCTGCCAACAGTGTTACATCTTGTAACAGGAGTGTTGCGAGAGCTGTCGGCAAAGTCGTCAGAACGTCGGTCACCTGTAGTGGTCAGTGCCTGTCTTAGCTCCCTCAAGGCTCTGTGTTCCTCACCACTGACATCTGATGAAGCAGTGTCAGACAGTTGGATACAGCTGCTGCAGAGTGCTTTAGCTACTGTTCTTCACTATGCAAAACCATGTAAGTATAACATGTTTGTGTCAATTATGTAGCTCAATCAGTCTTATTTAACATTTGAAAACTTACACACACATCCAATATTTAACATATGGTTTTGTGATCTCCGTCACAACCAATCCTTTCTTATACTGAATTTATTGGAATATCTCCAAAATTTTGTCTTCTCTATTTATCTTGAGAAACTGAAGCTTGATTTCATTTGCTTATTTCTTGATTTGATCTTGTATGACAGCTGAAGAGAAGCCCGGGATGGAGGATGTGACACTTCTAGGAGTTATTACAGTTTTCATTGCCTGTGCTCCCCACCAAGTAGCCAACATACCTTCTCTCAAGAATCAATGTGTTCAAGTGTTCAAGGATACCTGGGATTCTGACAGTAATGAGGTGAGTTCAGGTGTTCAAAAATACCTGGGATTCTGATAGAAATGAGGTGAGTTCAGGTGTTCAAAAATACCTGGGATTCTGATAGAAATGAGGTGAGTTCAGGTGTTCAAAAATACCTGGGATTCTGATAGAAATGAATGGAGCACAGGTGTTCAAAAATACCTGGGATTCTGATAGAAATGAATGAAGAACAGTTGTTCAGAAATACCTGGGATTCTGATGATTGAGGTGAATACAGGTGTTCAAAGATACGTGGGATTCTGATAGAAATGAATGGAGTACAGGTGTTCAGAAATACCTGGGATTCTGATAGAAATGAACGAAGTACTGGTGTTCAAAAATACCTGGGATTCTGATGATTGAGGTGAATACAGGTGTTCAAAGATACATGGGATTCTGATAGAAATGGTGTTTAAAAATAACTGGGATTTTGATGGTATCCAGGTGAGTATAAGTGTTTAGAGATATTGCAGATTTTGATAGTAATGTCGTGAGTTCAGGTATTCAAAGATACTTAGAACTTGGGTGTTAATAAGGAATGTCTATTAAAGTTTTGATATATTAAACTTCATATGCCATTAATATCTGCACAAGATTAAATTTGAAATCGGTACTTACATTTGAAAAAGAATTGTAAATCGATGGAATTTTGCTCTGAAACAGCGTACATTTATACATGATATTTTTGTATGGAAAATGCTGTGACGATTTTACAGGTGAAACTGAAGTGTGTCCAGATGTTTACGTCAGTGATACAACACCTTGACCGTGACAGTGCCACGCCTTATATACGTAATGTCGCTTCCAAGATCCTGGAATACCTGTGCAACATCAGTGAGAACAAACACAACATTGACTCAGAAATTAACCTCATCAAGGGTTCTATACACATGGCCGTGTCACTAGTGGCGATTGCTGAAGAATCCCGACGTGAGTACTAGTAGAGGCATGGTTATAATACAGATATTTCATGTTGTAGCTGGTGTGTTTTAGCCACTCAGGTTTACTACAGGATAAAAACAAGTTCACTGTAGATGTTATGAACAGGTACTTTTAATGGGGCTGTGCTGAAAATGTTAAATGTAACTTTACATATTAGATACTAAAGATCAACACCCCCAAATGCCCAACCCCCAAACCTCCACCAAACTGATTGCACATTTCATATTTAAAACCATGTAGATTTGAAATGATCCTTCACTGGTACATTTCTTATTTCGTAGATATCTAGCTCTTCTGCACATCTGATTTTGGAGTATTCCTTTCATAAGAAACTTTATGTTATGAAATTGTTAGGACTACTTATTAAAACTTAGTAGCTCATGTTTTTGCTACGATATTCTTTGACAGTAATACAATGATATTATCAACCTTACGATTTGCCTTTCTGTATTTTCAGGTTTGACTCTCCTATCTTTGTTGATGCCACTTCTTGTGTCATTTTTAATGGACGAAAAAACAGTTCACTCAATGTCTAAATCTGCAAGACTGCTACATGACGAAGCTCTCCAACGAATCACAACAATCGGTCCAAGATACCCAGAGCAATTTAGGACAATAATGAGTAGTCAGGCCGAACTCAAGTTCAAACTAGAGGCAGCTGTGAAACTCAACCAGGCTAATGTGAGAGCACAGCAGAATTTAGAGAAATCTGCAAAACTACCACAAAATCAACCAGCAAGACCTACCATAGCTTTGAAAACAAACTTCAGCAATTTTACAGGATAAAAAAAAAGAGGCATTGATTTTTCAAGGAGGCAATTTATATATATTTAACTTAATCTGTGATATAGTAAGAAATGATGGGTCTCCTGTGTCAGGCATAGGGGCTAACTGTTACTGTTGAACTATTGATATATTTTATATAGCAGTGTATAGCTCATATATGTACAGAATATAGCGGGGCTTTACACTCATAACTAGTTGTTGATGTACAGTTTGTATGGGAGGCTCAAGACTGTTAGTGTATAGAACTCATGTTTCCTTGTTAAGATGATCAAAACTGAAATCTGTATGAATTTTGTAAAATAGTGCATTCACATATCATCCTGAATTCATTGTACCTTGTGTTTTGTACCTACCATTTGTAATACAAAAGACAGATTGATATGAATAGTATTTTTGAAATTGAACTTTAAATAGTTGTTGTAACTATCCATTCAAATATTTTAAAAATTTTGCATTAATTGTACTTTTATACTGCCAGGTCACCATATGAACACATGTAGTGTAACTCCACTTTTTGAAATGCATGCATACCCATATGTCTTGTGTATTGATCCATCTAGATAGTTAACATACCATGAGATTATTTAAGAAATAGTTTCGGGAGGTAAAATGTTTGGGATGAAGGTCAAGTATTAGCATTTTACTTACTTCGCAATGTTGACTTGCCTGGCAGAGAAATGCTCTAGTATCAGGGGAGGTAACTACTAACACCCACGTGGTCTTTCATTTATTTGTAAACATGTTTGTGGCCACAGCGTGATGGTATCTGTAAATCTTTGATATTTTGAATCTACTTGCTTTGCTATGTTTTATATTCCATCACCTTTTTTGTAAAATTTGTTCCTCATTCATAATTAGAAGAGAAAAATTTTGTTTTCATTTGTTAACCAGCTTGTAAAATAATTATTATGTTATTGAAAATGGAGTTAAATAGAACAGTTTATGTATAAGCACAATCATCTATTTATGGAAAAGGTTACACTGGTTCCTTTCACTTACTATACATTCAAATATTGAAATCATTCTGGAATATTAGATTTGTTTTCTGCAAATATCCATACAAAACCATCATAGGATACGTTATTTTACAGAATTGTGAAATAGAAATTAAATTTCAGAGGTTGTATTCACGTCAGAGTTGTGACTTGTTTGGTCTTGGCCTGGTACAGGTCAGTGTTTCTCTTCGATACCTGGTTCTGATCAATACACATTTCCAAAATAAAATGAAGCAAAACCTTGGCTACCATGGAATGTATTGTTTTAATGCTGAAAGTGTTTCTCATATGGTAAAGCCTTTTATACAAGAAAGATCTAAGGGTTTAGTGGCATTGTATTTATTCATATTCTGTAAAAACAGAAAATAAATGAAAGGTTGATGTATGGCTTTGTAGACGGGTTCAGTAGTAAAATAAAAAAAAAGAGAGAAGTCGAAGTTCAGGGGATTTGTTAATATTTTCAGGTTTTTTTTTCATTCCATTTCCACTATGCAAAAGTCTATTACAAAATATTATAGATTTACAGGAAACTATACAAGAGTACAGATGAAAATGGATACGGCTGTTCTAACAATGGTGAAGTGAACTGTTCTGTACAAGTGTTGAAGACATTGATAGTTGTTGAGATAATGAGATTGTGAGTGTGGTGCAACGATGACGATGATTACTACTATATTATTGATGTTTTTAATCTGGAGAGTGCTGTATTCACCCATTGTTTATATTCTGAAGCCAAAGTTAGCCCGTCTTGCACTATTTTACATACCAATTAAATATTGTTTGTGATTGCTCGGTGTTTTCCATATGATGCCATTTGCTCTGCATTCCATACATGTCACTGTTGCTTGTTTGTCACTGTTGTTTGTACGGTACTTGAGATCTGCTACATATATATATATAGATTCATTTCAGCCCCCTATCCCCCATTTCATTTTAGAGTTTCTACCCGTCAGTAGTTATTTAGTTAGGGCATTGTGTATCATGTACTTTTTAACCACTTAAAGTGGGAAAACCTACTTATTTTTTATTGTATATATTCAGTATAAAATTACCTATTATAGAGAGGCATACAACATAATGTTTATTTATACCTAGATTTGTTTATTAAATACACTTGGAACCAATACTGAGTTTGTAGTATTGGTCACTAGCAGGTAATTAAAGTTGTGATTAACTTTCATTAACACATAAGTGATAAACTTTCATTTGCATACAAATTTCATTATTCAAACCGAGGAATTGTGCAATGTTTTAACTAGTAAAGGAAATGTAATTTTGAAATATTTTTGAAATATTTATATGTAAATGATGTTGATTAAATTTGACTTAATTTTGCATTTCTTAAAGTCTTAAAGGGGATTAACACTTTCCCATCAACAGACTAGAAAATCTTTACAGGGTATCTAACTTCAGGAACTTAACAACACTTACATACAACATACTAAGAATGGTTGTGTTCTGCTTTTGGAGAGAGAAGATTAACAACTTCAGTTTGCTAAATAAAAGCAAGAATTGGCAATGAAATGCTTCTCAGCTATAAACATGTGTATTAATCCTGTTATTTTCGAATCCATGCAACCTCTAATCAATTTGAATGGAAATTAGTGAGACTAATTTGAAGACAGATCAATAATGTATAAGATAGATTATTTTATTTAAAATAGTAGTAACCATATTCTTGATAATAGTAAACAGAAAATCATTGTGTAAATCAATCCTTATTTAGAAACTGATTGCTCAAAGCAAATGATACTTAAATTGATTTCGTTATTTGTCAGTAGAGCTACAGAACTTTATTACCCTATAGAATCTGTAAAATGACCCTATTCCTGTCTGCGAGATGTTTTAGTCAGTAGGACCCCAGTTCTGTTTGTAAGATGATTGGTGCCGAGCTTCCATTACAATGCTAGTAGTTGTAATGATTTGCTGCTTCACTGTTACAGATGATCAATAAAATAGCGGAAAATTTATCTCTGTGTTTATAGTATATTGTGTACTGGATATTTTGAGAACTTCTCAACAGGGTTGGTTCATATTAACCCTGTAACATCAAGTTCTACACTGGGTCATATCAAGATGGTACTTGTCAGTGTTAAAGAGTCAAAGGTCACGGTTGACTCTTTCTGAAAAGCTATCAAACATATGGAATTATGTTACTGTGTATAGGAATTAAAAGTGGTCAAAAATAGAAACCAACTCCATATGTAATCCGTCTTGGACAACTGGCTTGCTAGATCATTTTCCCAAAATGGACCATGAGCTTCTGACCTATCAACTGGTTAAATAAAGGATGGAGCATCAACACCAAGGATTCTGTGATCGGTAGTTTTATTAGGTTGACATGTTTCAGCTAGCAAGACTAGCCCTCGTCAGTTCTAAAACTTATCGTCTATGGAGCTCTGCTAGAATCCTTTGGATCCACCTAGGATTCCTCTACCGATACATCTACCAACTAGTACCACTCGCAGGACGTTGGACTCCACTAACTCTTTTTTATTTTCCAACTGGTTGAAGAGTTTACCTTACCGTCATATTATACCCACAAGCATTCTTGTGAAAATGAAATCATGCTAAGAGTTTAAAATAATTTTAAGATTCTTAATATACACATTAATACCCCGGTTAATTGAAACCTGTAGTGGCAAAATCTTGTTTAAAAAAGTATACATCATGATAAAAACACATTTGACTATCTGTTTGCCTAATTTTCTGGTTCAGTGAGGTCGCCACAACTACCACACCTCGAAATGACTGTGGCTGTTCATAGCGCAATAACCAAGCAGACATCTACACTCTACCTAAATATGTATTTAGTCTGTTTTTTAATTTACAATTGTCACCAAACACTAATCCAGTTAATGGCAATGCTAATACTCAGGTTAACCTTTGGAGGAAATGGTTTCTTTGATAATGTCTTATTATGTCTCCTGGTAGTACATGTGATTACAATTTTTATGGCCTACAAAGTAACGCAGTTCACTTCATTACTTTGTAAGTTTTTCATTTTCGCTCTTGAATTTAAAAAGCTTGCATTTATCGTCGGAAACCTGTTGTTCTGTGTACAATAAATCCCAGAGATGTTCTTTAGGATGGTCGGGTGGCACAGTGGTAACGCACTCGCCTTTCACCTAGCCATCTGAGGTTTGATCCCCAGAATGGATGTGAAAAGGTATGGGGTCACCTGCCCGACCATATGAATTTTCCCTGGGTACTCCGGTTTACCTCCCACAGTAAGACCCCTTGCGCGCTTCCCTCTGGGCCAACAAGAGTGATTGATAATAAGCTGTCCTTTAGAACGTGAACAAGAGATGCAGTTCCTGCATGTAGAATATATATTAATTATATGTGTAACAATTCACTGATGCATCAATGCATTGCACCAAGAGGTGATGCATCAATGCATCGTCCATCCTTGAAATGTGTCACGAAACCTATTTTTTTTTTTTTTTTGAAAAACAACCGTATTTAACTCCCTTGATCAACGTTCATGATACGTAATACGCTTATACAAATTCGTTGCTGCTCCGGTGGGGTTCAAAACTTCCTCAGCTTTTGGTAGCGGACTCCTCATGTTCTTGCTCTGAGGAGTCGTCCATTAAAACCAAAATTATGGCTGAGGATACAAGTAGTACTAATTGTGCTTTCAGTGACTTATTGGGAGATGTTTATGTTGTTCATGAGGAAAACGGTCACAAGTCTAAATTGGAAATGGCTTTCGGAGAAGTAGCGATATATAAGAAAGTTCCTTGCATAAATATTAAAGAAAATAAATTTCAATGGTAGAAAAGGAATGCACATTTCCCTGTGTGGGAGACATAATTACAGCTCAGAGGAGCACACTGGAATCTAAACATGTGGACACTAATTTTCTATGAAATGAATAAACAGTGTTGATTTTTATTCAATGATAATTATTACATATTCATATACACAAATAGTATTCAAATCTAAAGGTGCCATCAAGCTGCAGAAATCATTTTCCTAGTTATCAAAAGTTGGTTATAAGATAAATACTTGTTTCTGAAATATCGCGATACGTATCGTATCCTGACCCGTGTATCACACCCACCTGACGATACACAGCTCTGCTATTAATGTATAGAACACCATTGTATGTCATCCCTTTTACATGTCCCTGACTCTAATTTCTATAAGAAAAAAGCGTCATAATTATCAGTTATGTGATGGAAACGGGGAAATAAAGAAAGAAGGAATACAAAATCAAATGAACTACAGAGGTCATGATTTAGTGGTGTGCTACCTAAAGAGGACTTCTTTTGAGAATATATCCTTCCGCACTTCCTTGCGAGATAGTTCTGCGTAATTTACGATACTCATCTTTAATGTGTGACGTTATTTTGTTTTTAATCGTATATTTAATCCAATTAAAATAGATGACAGTTTTTTCTAATCATTGATTAATTGCTACAAATTTGAAAACTTCCATTACAGTGAGGTCATAGCAACAGCGGACGCGTAGAGCGTCTCAGTGTATGTGATAAGGCTTTTTTGGTTTTCTTCAACAAGACTATTTTTTTCCTAGTGAAATAATTTGCCAATATGGCTGATGCGAACGGAAGAAAACTGTCAGCTGCTGCAGCACATAGCTTGGGACTAGCGAGAGAGTCCTGGTGTGCTGTTGAATCGAAAAAGGAAGAAAGCTGGTGTCGAAAGGAACGAAGACACGACCCCCAACAGTTCAGTAGCTCCGTTTTCGATAAACACCGACCGGGTTACGAACCAAGGTGTACCTTCACAGTAGATGCACCTACACACTTAGAGCGGAGACATTTTCCAGATCACTGTAAGTATTGGGTTTACAACGGAGTTTCTTGCTGTTGATGAGTGGATGTACATTGTGTAAGCTTAAACTGCTTCCATATTTTGTACACGTATCACAACGCATGACGTGCTTCTTCATTTCTATTATTTCCATCAAGGGCAGGCCTACTGTATCTACTTGTACATCAAGTATAGGCCTACTTTGTCTAGTTGTACATCAAGGGAAGTCCTACTATGTCTAGTTGTATGCCAATTGTAAGACTACTTTATATAGTTGTATGTCAAGGATTGGCCTACTATATATTGTTGTATATTAGAGTAGGCCTACTATATCTAATTGTATGTCAAGGGTAGGCCTACTATATCTGGTTGTATGTCAAGGGTAGGCCAACTGTATCTAGCTGTATGTCAAGGGTAGGCCTACTATATCTAGCTGTAAGTCAAGGGTAGGCTTGCTATATCTAGCTGTATGTCAAGGGTAGGCCTACTATATCTAGCTGTATATCAAGGGAAGGTCTACTTTATCTAGCTGTACATCAAAGGGAGGCCTACTATATCTAGCTGTACATCAAACGGAGGCCAACTATATCTAGCTGTATGCCAAGTGTAGGTCTACTATATCTAGCTGTACATCAAAGGGATACCTACTACATCTAGCTGTGTCAAGGGTAGGCCTACTATATCTAGCTATAAGTCAAGGGTAGGCCTACTGTATCTAGCTGTACATCAAAGGGAGGCCTACTACATCTAGCTGTGTCAAGGGTAGGCCTACTATATCTAGCTATAAATCAAGGGTAGGCCTACTGTATCTAGCTGTACATCAAAGGGAGGCCTACTACATCTAGCTGTGTCAAGGGTAGGCCTACTATATCTAGCTATAAGTCAAGGGTAGGCCTACTGTATCTAGCTGTACATCAAAGGGAGGCCTACTATATCTAGCTGTAAGTCAAGGGTAGGCCTACTATATCTAGCTGTACATCAAAGGGAGGCCTACTGTATCTAGCTTTGCACCTTTTGACCATTTCAAGTCAAGATTAATACTCAGAAGTTTTTTTCCCCATACTGTGAACATTATCACTCTTATATCACACTATATAAACAACAAACAGAGGTGTTATCATATTGTGGCAAAATATTTTCGGCATAACAAAAACTAAAATGATATAACTAACAGAATATGTGATGTATACAGTAACTGATCATGGTGAAGGTTATAGTGTGTTAACTAATGGAAAAAATAGAGAAATTCTTATTGGGAGAAAAAAGTTGATAATCCCTATCTCCAAATACAATTGTAATAGTGGGACATGTACAAGATGGTAAATTGAGGCTGAATTAACAAGACTTAACAAGATTGAACTAAGTTGCTTTTCCATGCTAAAAGGTCAATATGATATGTTAGCTTCCCAATTACAATATTGTGACACATATTATAGCAATATATATTCAACTATTTTGCTTTGCTTTGGTGATGGGGCTTTTTGTTTCATGCAGTGTGCTTTGTCTTTTAATATGTTGCAGATAACTGTCAAATGAAGATTTGATCCGACCACCCATGCAGAAATGAAAATGAAGATTTCATGATGGTTTCCAAAAATATTCATCATCACAAAATCAAGCTGTGTGAAGATTGGAATTTATAAATCAAACAAACAGATGTAAACATTTTTTAACAATTGAAATTAGACAAAAAATGAAAAAAAGGAATCTTTGTCAATATATGTAGAATTTTTGCTTTCCTGAAAGTGTGAAGAGAAAAGAGAAATATGACATCTATCTATTTACCAATATGAAAAAGAAAGGAAATTCACCCTGTTACCATGGAAGTCAAATATATGTGTGTGGATATCAGTATTAAAAAACTGTTGATGTATTGTTGATATATTGAATCTGTTTAAATCTGAAATCTATTTGTTATGCAAGTTTGAAATCAGTATTACATCATGCATGCAGTGTATTTATTGTAGAAACACATCAGTATTAATTTTTCTTTGTATCTATGTCTGTATTTTCATATTTATGTAGGTTTAGTGTTAACTTTTACATTTCTGTTACAGAATTTTATCATGAATTTTTTTATAAAGCTTATATATATTTAGTCAGATTTTAGTAGGTTTTCTATCATTATTACCTGTTACTTGTCAGTATTATGTACATGGTATACAGAGAGAGTCAGAATGTCATTACTATTCTATATCTATGGATTTATGTTCATTTTAAACATTTGCTCAAGTGCAATGTGCGCCGCATTGTGGGTGTTCAAATAAATTTGATTTAAAACAAAGTAAACTTGTGCATGTAATTATTGACCGTTCAACCTCTTGGGTATCCATTGGAATGGTTAATTTAATACAGGTAAGAGTATAACACATAATGCAGCCCAAATTTCTTTGATGTCAGAATCTGAGATTATCCATTTGTATGTCAATACAGTACATTTGTATAATGAGGCCTGCTCAATCCATCCTCTAGTACCTGACATCCCCAAGTGTTTTTAAAACTTGTCATAGGTAAAATACTATAGTCCTACCAGGTATTTTTTAAATGAAATCCCAGATAGAATGTTGATTTTTCTGATAATGTATCTAAGCTGTCAGTTCGTTGGAATCCACAGGGTGTCAAATAAGACAGGGATCGCTTACATGGTTGACAAGCTCATATTGTTAACATAAACCAAGTAAAATATAGATACTGGTGATCATTTTATTACTCTTGCAAGTTTAGGAAATAGTTTTAAGGCATTCATTGTGGTGATTCTGCTCAGTTCATGGACGTCTAACTTCTTCCTTGTAGCGATGTAATCACAAGATAACAAAATATTTTTTGGTTCATTTCTCACCTGTAATGACAAAATCAAGCTACTTTAAGTCTCAAACATGATAGAAAAAATAAATTAAACCAATAACATCTATATACAAACATTTCTGAGGTAAGTAAACTATATATCAGTAATCCACATCATCCAAGGTCTTGATTCAATTGATTTCACAGTCCCATGAAATCACATTTAATATCTTCAGTGTTCATATTCATACTTGCAATGGAAATAAATTGCATACAATCCTGTAATTGTGATAATTTCCTCCAGTTGAAATTAATATAATTTTATCTTTTATCAATATGATTTTATCTTTAGCATCATAAAACACATAGCTTTTACAAAGTCATTGAAATTTTGTAAATCCACGCAATTATAAATATTGTTAATAAGGATATTCAGCACAAACATACAATATTCCAAATGTGAAAATTGCATATAGATCTAGCTAGATTGATTTACAAACATCAGCTCGACCATGATTAAGCCATTTCAGATTTCCTTTTTATTAACGAAAGAGTGTGAAATATCTGTATATTTCAAATTCGTCAAGAAATTAGCCAAATGAAACAATGGAATTCTGATACATGTGCCAGCAGAAATTATACCTGAACAACATGCACACCTGTAAACCAGTATTAATTCTTTGCATAAAACATATGATCAAGTGAGTGACTGTATCCGAATTCCCCAATCAATATTGGCAGGAGGTATTTTTTTTAAATACTTTTAAATATAATAAGAAAGAGTTCTAGAGAGGTAAAAAACAAAACACTTGTTCAGAATATCCCTTTGAAACATGTAAAATGGTTGTTTTGTAAATAATATTTTTAAAAAATACCAACATCTTTTTCTGGTCCAAGAGCTGGCGAATCAGATTCAAGCAGAATATTTGTAACTGGTAACCGCTGAACTAGTTTGCTCTGAAAAAAATAAACACACTGTAATAATAACTTAGGCTCACTCCACTCCAAATCAAATTAACAAGAGAATAATAATCACAACTTCAATGTAACATACAAATTATCACTTAATAACCCCCACCACACGTACCAATGCTCTCCAATTTGGTCACCATGGCAACCAAATGGCAGCCATTTTTTTCACTAAAAATGAATCATTGTATTTGTTATCTCCCTACACCTTTTTATTTAAATATTCAACTTAATCAGATAATATCTTAATTACAACCAATAAGAAGCCTCCAATATGTTTCCATGGTAACAAAACACTTAATATGTCAAATTATAGGCTATAATTATCTATATCAAGTTTAAAATAAAATCAATGGAGGTGCTTAGAGTTATGGTACTTTGTATGAAAATGTGTATAGGAAAACACTTGGAGAGGACTGGTAAAGAGCAGTCTTATGGGTCTTATATGTTTACGAAAGCATCCAAATGACATCAGATGTTTTTGGAAATGGTACTATTGTAATTGCCTTCCTTCAAAACCCTTGTTTTTTTTTTTCAGCACAAATTAGACGATATCTCCATTCAACCAATCAGAAACCTACAAGCATTGATCAAGTTACACCACCTAATCAAATTTAGATAAAATTAGTCAAAGGATTGATGGGTTAACGCCCATACATAAAAACCTGTGTATAGTGACTTGTTTACCATAGCAGCCGAAATTTCTGCTAAAACAACCTGCATGTACGTCTATACATGGTACCTAAAAGTCCTATGTAATTTCATTGAAATCAATTTGTAGGTTTAGGAGGAGATGTCAGAACAATTTTTTTTCCATTAAAACCTGTGTATATGGTAACCATGGTAACCATAATTTCTGCTAAAAAACCTACACATGGTGGCCAATATTCCTGTGTAGTTTCAACAAAATTTGCTCCAAAAATATAAGAGTTGTCTGGATGAAATTTTTTTATGGACTGATGGATGGCCATACAAGCCGATTCCAGTATTCCCTCTCTAACTTGTTGCAAGGGGTTGGTGGAGTATAATAATGCTGTATTCTTTAGGACCGGTACTCAGTAATTTGGACAGAAGAACAAAGAAATATGTTAAAAGGGAATATAATTGGCATCAAAGCAAATGCAAAATAATCGACATGGCTACATTACTAAAGGCAATGTACCCTAAACCTGTTTCCAGTACACATAAATGTAACGGTAGGAAGGAGTGCACACCATTAGCTGATAGGTCATTAACTGAAATCCTCTCTATTTATTGGTTAAACCTAAACCAAACACAATAGAATTGAAGAGCAACTGGGGTTCAACTTTTGATGTTAAAAATTAATGAAGAATAACCTTGAAGTTTGAAACGATGACCTGCACAATCGGTATCCTCACTCTACAAGCATAAACAATAACCTTAGCCTCATGTTAAGAGTAAATGAACATTTTGTTTGAATCAATTCCCTTAAAAATATTTTTTTCCTGTCAGTACCTTGTACATGTAATTATAAAATGCCTAATTTTAGACTAAATTCACAAACCTCTGGATTCCTGACACAAGATGGCGGTATAGAGAAAAAGTACCCAGCCTCCACACCTGTCATAGCCACTGCTGGCTTACCATCAAAGGCGTGTAACAATACTTTATCAGCACCTGGAACATGTTCAGAATTAAAAATCTGTATATCAATGACATGGTGCATTTCACTATTTATTATTTTGAATCAGAGACCAAAGTATTATAAGTATCTGATTATAGGATCAAGGTTTCAGTTTTTCTTAGGTTTTTTTTTTTATTATTTCCTTTTCACTGAATCCAACTCTAAAAATTAAACCTAAAAAAATATCAAACTTACCAAATTCTCTTAAAGCAGCAATGGTTGGTCTACCTGCAGATCTTGAATGTACATTCCTGCATCAATATACACAAAAGAAATGAAACTGACATAAACAAAGGAATCACATTTGATAATTTTTGGTGGTATAATGCATCATATATTTGGTATGTCAACAAGATCTACTTACAAATCAACAGTCATTTGAAAGCTTGATAGTTTGAAAATATCATCGAAAGATTTTTAAAATAATTAAAAAGAATTCACACAGTCTAGTCAAAACTTACACAGGTAAATCATATTTCTTTGCCAGATCAACCTGGAAGAAAAATCACATATCGTACATTTAATATACGATGTTTGAAGACTTACATACAGCAGCTTTAAACATGTGTAAATGATAAAAATCACAACGGACTATAACCTCTTGTGGACAGATATACAACAGCACATGTTTGGACAGAAGTTACAATCAAGTCCCTTTGTTTCACAAGACCAGCATATTTCAATGTTCAATTTGCTTTCAATTTGATCTTATTTTTCTCATGAATTATTACCAAACAATTTTGTTATAGAAACCTTTAAGAAACCTTTATAAATATTCATCATATTTATAAAATTTGATTTTTTTCCCTCAGATATTGGCCTGGCTGTCTAAAACAGAACTTCTGAACAGCACCTGAAGACCTTCCCAGTATGCAGATGAAGCTTGCCAAACAATTTAAATGGTTTTAAATGAAGATTTCACAGATCTGTATATATATATACTGAAAAGTTTAATATATTACAGACGGCATTCATTTGTTCAGCCATGCAAATATGATTATGACACATTTTTTGTTAATCCTGGGATAATTTCGTAGGTGATTTGATCACAATATGGATACTTACATATGGTTTGTTAAACGTTTGTTTGTCGAATGTACATCTACAGGATATGATATACTAGTCACAATAGCACTGAGTATATACTATTTACATGTTTGACATTAACTAATTAATATGTAACATAAATACACACATAAAATTATCGTATTATAATTGTATTATTCAATGTATATTAAGTTTATCAAAATATAAATATATATCAACTTTGATAAGATTTTTGTTTTTTATAAATGGTAAGAAAAAACTGCTTTTAGAACTTTCTTTGAATATTCCTTCTCACCACGAAAAAGTCCTTCAAACCACCTCTGTGATCTTCAAAATCACATGTGACTACATTTATCATTAATGTACTGTTTGAAAAAAAAAAATAGACCTGACATTTTCAGAAGAAAAGGCACCCGTTCATTTCAATATACTGTGTTTTATTTCCTTTATTGATGCTTCAAATTTTTGTGGTTTGACCAAAGCTTGAAGCCGTAAGTATGTGTTTTTCATGAAAACAAATGAAACCACCACATACTTTTTCCACAGTTTCAGTCACATATGTATTGTAACAGACACCGATGTTTAAATAATTACGATGTAGTACATATTGTATGACTATGTAAAGTCTGTTTCCTCGTTATTTTCTAATTATGTTAAGGTATGTTTCAAAATTGGCCTTGATCTTTGACCTATGGATCCTGGTTCACAATTTAATTTTTTTTTTACAATGTTCAATTCAAGATCAATTAAGATATCTACTCGAGGCTCAATAAAGTGCCACTGATATATGGAAGTAAGTGGATTCTTACAACTGGGTTACAATCATTGAAGCAATGTTAGAGAAGAAATGCAATCCAGTGGGGTTCTGAGAGTGAGAAAGCATTACCTCTAATGAAAGTCAACTTTATCAAGAAATCAGACCATCACATTTATTTAATGTACAAATTTATTTTTTCATATGACATTGTTTAATATGACATGTGACGTCATCAACTGATAATGAAATGATATCACATAGCTATATGTGTTAGTCAAAAAGGAGGCACTGGATACATCTAATTGACAGAGAAGACAGATTTTAAACTGGTAGTATAATATGGCCAAAAAGACAGGTTCCATGCAACATCATGGATCTGTTTCCATTTAATGAATTTACTCATGAAAATTCTCATTTTAGCATAACTGGAGGCACAACAGAAAAAAAGTTACAAATGTTTGTTTAATAAATCTTATTTACCAATAAGGAGGTATTTTAAGTACATATTCATACCTGTAATTTTAACACCTGTCGCTGAACGTCTTTGTCTTCTGGTCTAACACATATTCTTGGCTGAAAGTCTAGACCTATCTGTGTCAAACAACCAACAACATAATCAGACCACATGTACATAGACCTATCTGTGACAAACAACCAACACAATTAACACACATGTACACAGACCTATCTGTGACAAACAACCAACACAATCAACACACATGTACATAGACCTATCTGTGACAAACAACAAACAAAATCAACACGCATGTACACAGACCTATCTGTGACAAACAACCAACACCATCAACACACATGTACACAGACCTATCTGTGACAAACAACCAACACCATCAACACACATGTACACAGACCTATCTGTGACAAACAACCAACACAATTAACACACATGTACACAGACCTATCTGTGATAAACAACCAACACAATCAACACACATGTACACAGACCTATCTGTGACAAACAACCAACACAATCAACACACATGTACACAGACCTATCTGTGATAAACAACAAACAAAATCAACACACATGTACACAGACCTATCTGTGACAAACAACAAACAAAATCAACACGCATGTACACAGACCTATCTGTGACAAACAACCAACACCATCAACACACATGTACACAGACCTATCTGTTACAATCAACACACATGTACACAGACCTATCTGTGACAAACAACCAACACCATCAACACACATGTACACAGACCTATCTGTTGCAATCAACACACATGTACACAGACCTATCTGTGACAAACAACCAACACCATCAACACACATGTACACAGACCTATCTGTTGCAGTCAACACACATGTACACAGACCTATCTGTGACAAACAACCAACACCATCAACACACATGTACACAGACCTATCTGTTGCAATCAACACACATGTACACAGACCTATCTGTGACAAACAACCAACACAATCAACACACATGTACACAGACCTATCTGTTGCAATCAACACACATGTACACAGACCTATCTGTGACAAACAACCAACACCATCAACACACATGTACACAGACCTATCTGTTGCAATCAACACACATGTACACAGACCTATCTGTGACAAACAACCAACACAATCAACACACATGTACACAGACCTATCTGTGACAAACAACCAACACCATCAACACACATGTACACAGACCTATCTGTGATAAACAACAAACAAAATCAACACGCATGTACACAGACCTATCTGTGACAAACAACCCACACCATCAACACACATGTACACAGACCTATCTGTTGCAATCAACACACATGAACACAGACCTATCTGTGACAAACAACCAACACAATCAACACACATGTACACAGACCTATCTGTTTCAATCAACACACATGTACACAGACCTATCTGTGACAAACAACCAACACAATCAACACACATGTACACAGACCTATCTGTGACAAACAACCAACACCATCAACACACATGTACACAGACCTATCTGTTGCAATCAACACACATGTACACAGACTTATCTGTGACAAACAACCAACACCATCAACACACATGTACACAGACCTATCTGTTGCAATCAACACACATGTACACAGACCTATCTGTGACAAACAACCAACACCATCAACACACATGTACACAGACCTATCTGTGACAAACACACCAACACAATCAACACACATGTACACACATAGACCTATCTGTGACAAACAACCAACACAATTAACACACATGTACACAGACCTATCTGTGACAAACAACCAACACAATCAACACACATGTACACAGACCTATCTGTGACAAACAACCAACACAATCAACACACATGTACACAGACCTATCTGTGACAAACAACCAACACAATCAACACACATGTACACAGACCTATCTGTGACAAACAACCAACACAATCAACACACATGTACACAGACCTATCTGTGACAAACAACCAACACACTCAACACACATGTACACAGACTTATCTGTGACAAACAACCAACACAATCAACACATGTGTACATCAATCTTTCTATTTTAAACAACCATAAACAGAATCAACAGAATTGACTGTAAATCTTTAGCAATGCTCTTATCTCAAAGGGAGGTTATTATAATAAAATTTTCTTTGATGTAATTGTCATATAAAATATAGATATGAACAAAGTACAATGTATATACACATAGTTAACATCATGTACTTCTCACAAATATATTAAACAAGACATCAAGAATGTGATTGTGACATATGTGTGTAACTTACCTCCCCTATGGCAGCTATACTGCTGATGTTCTGTTCTATAATGGGTAAGGCCTTTTCTACATCCTACAACATCAAACCAAGTAATTACAGGCTGTATAATCAGTGATATCTTTAAACATATATACTGAATAGCATTAAAAATTTTATGTTTCTACGACCAATTCACAATGAGCAAATTAATGATTTACAAAGAAAGGTTTCTCTGAAATACAATCTGAACTTTAGAAAAATGGTAAATCTAAACCATGTTACTTTGAGACTTGGTGTATAGAAGAAATTTAAACCATGTTACTTTTGAGACTGGGTATATAGGAGAAATTCAAACCATATTACTTTGAGACTTGGTATTTAGGAGACATCTGAACCATGTTACTTTTCAGACTGGGTATATAGGAGAAATTTAAACCATGTTACTTTTGAGACTGGGTATATAGGAGAAATTCAAACCATATTACTTTGAGACTTGGTATTTAGGAGACATCTAAACCATGTTACTTTTCAGACTGGGTATATAGGAGAAATTTAAACCATGTTACTTTTGAGACTGGGTATATAGGAGAAATTCAAACCATATTACTTTAAGACTTGGTATTTAGGAGACATCTAAACCATGTTACTTTTCAGACTGGGTATATAGGAGAAATTTAAACCATGTTAGTTTGAGGTTTGGTATATAGGAGAAATTCAAACCATATTACTTTATAGACTTGGTATGGTATATAGGAGACATCTAAACCATGTTACTTTTCAGACTGGGTATATAGGAGAAATTTAAACCATGTTACTTTTGAGACTTGGTATATAGGAGAAAATCAAACCATATTACTTTAAGACTTGGTTTGGTATATAGGAGACATCTAAACCATGTTACTTTTCAGACTGGGTATATAGGAGAAATTTAAACCATGTTAGTTTGAGGTTTGGTATATAGGAGAAATTTAAACCATGTTAGTTTGAGGTTTGGTATATAGGAGAAATTTAAACCATGTTAGTTTGAGGTTTGGTATATAGGAGAAATTTAAACCATGTTACTTTGAGGTTTGGTATATAGGAGAAACTTGAACCATGTTACTTTGAGACTGGGTATAAAGGAGAAATTTAAACCATGTTACTTTGAGGTTTGGTATATAGGAGAAATTTAAACCATGTTACTTTGAGGTTTGGTATATAGGAGAAATTTAAACCATGTTACTTTGAGACTGGGTATATAGGAGAAATTTAAACCATGTTACTTTGAGGTTTGGTATATAGGAGAAATTTAAACCATGTTACTTTGAGACTGGGTATATAGGAGAAATTTAAACCATGTTAGTTTGAGACTTGGTTTATTTTAACCATGTTAGTTTGAGGTTTGGTATATAGGAGAAATTTAAACCATGTTACTTTGAGGTTTGGTATATAGGAGAAATTTAAACCATGTTACTTTGAGGTTTGGTATATAGGAGAAATTTAAACCATGTTACTTTGAGGTTTGGTATATAGGAGAAATTTAAACCATGTTACTTTGAGGTTTGGTATATAGGAGAAATTTAAACCATGTTACTTTGAGGTTTGGTATATAGGAGAAATTTAAACCATGTTAGTTTGAGGTTTGGTATATTGGAGACTAAAACTTGAGAGACTGATTATTCTATTGTTGATTAGCTGTGCTCACATACTGTTGTAAGCATGCTTTTTCACAGTATTTAATTAAACACAGCTACATGTATCCTCTTTCTCGTAATAAAACGATGAACTATTAGCTAATAATTTTTACTGTATGAACTCTTCATCTACTTTATACAGGGCTGAATATATAGTTAATGTTTATGAATGAGATTTGAGAAAAATTATGATCATTACCTCTAGTGTGACACACCTCTGTTCTCCAGTCAGGGCACCCTTGAAACACAAATCACAATAAAATTATACAACTATAGCAAAAGTGACCTCTGTCATAACAAAGTTTCTAAAGTTTTCTTCCTTCTGAATTTTAGTTTTATGTCTGCAACATTTCTTTTTTTAATCATTTTTTTATTTAAATTAGTTTTTCTTTCTTTGCAAAAACTTCTGAATGACATAAGCTTTGTCTTGTTATTGACAGTTATTGAACTACAGAAAGTGCAGACACAACAATTTTGAACATTTCTGTATTTTACATTGACCAGTGTAACAAACCATTCTAACTTGCAGGTGAGCATAACAAAATTTTAAAGCAAACAAATATAAGATTAGACAGGAGTCTTCCAACTTCATAACAGTTAAATATTCTATTTCTCTGAGTGAAATGAAGCTGGGTATGTTTGATGCTCATAAGTTTGCATGTAGACACTAATGCTTTATACCTAGTTCTTATTTAAGGAAACAACATGACTTGCTATGATTGACCAAGATGTACATGGTCAATGTTGATGAAGCAGAAGATGCTTACTCTTCCAAACCACCTGTCCTTATTCTCCTTGTACGTTTTCAAGAATCTCCATGTAAATTTTTCTCTTGTTCATATTTTGCTCTAGTTTTATTGAATTTGAGTTTGGTTATGATAATGGTAAAATGTTGGTATTTTCCTGTTTTTTTTTTCTTTTTGTTTTTTTGTTTTTTTTTTTGTTTTGTTTTTTTTTAACATTTATTGTGGATTTTATGAAGCAACACAGGTATATGATGCTATAACCCTGTTTAACCCATCAATAAGACCTTCCTATCTGATTCAAAGTTGGCTTGTTTAACATATGTAAAAAGCTACCCAAAAAAACATGAATGAAAATTCCTTACCTGGACTGGGTGAACTCCCAGACAAGGATATACAAAATCTGGGTGTCTGTAAATTGTAAAAATACTATCGTTTACTTCAATTTCAGACTGAATTAAAATGAAAGGCGACATCGATAACACTACATACAGTTTTGGAATTCTGCCAAACTGAGTTATGTAAGAAAGTATTCAATATGATATTTTAGTTTAGTTTAGTTTCAGAAATATTCTTATTCAATATTCAACAATTTAACACATACACATGATATGTACAGGATGGGGAAAACAAGCTTACAGCTTATATTGATTCCTTTCCTAAATTATTTTTTCTCTTTTTCTCTCTAAACAATGTACATTTTGGTTATAAATTACTCAGACAACCTTTGAGAAAATCAAATCAACAACATTTGGGTGATTACAACCTGATGTCATTTTTGTTTTTTCACAGGGCTCTCGATCTGCCAGATTTGGGGCCGATATTCGGTCCCATTCCCAATGCAAAATAGTATCTTTTTTTCCCAATTTAGACCCCTAGTCTTCCCTATTCTAAGGAAAACGCCACTATTTTTCCAAATTCTAAGGGCCCCGGAACCCAGACCCCAGTCCCAAAATGGGGTGTGAAAGCCCTGTTTCAAATATCATTTTTCTAAATTAGCAAATCAGATATTTCCATAATTACTTGTGCCATATTCAACACTGACATAAATAGAAAGATTAACTGATGAATCAGTAGTCTATGTACAATAAGGAACCATATATATAAGTAGAACAAAAAATGTCTGTTACCTGTATTGAAGTATCTAATTGAACTGATCATGTAAACAAACAAAAAAATATATGTCTGTTTACGTGTTATCATAAATCAAAATTGTAGACACGCTAAATGAACTGTTACAAGGAAAGTTTTTCTTTTTCACACTAAGAAATGGACATTATAAGGATGAACAGAAAAAATCCTTTTGTTTGAAGTTTAAATGCCAATTGACAAATATCTAAAACTGAGTCAGAAGCATAATTTAGTTTACTTCACTAGGCAGAGGATTACATAAGGTGCTCTTTTTTTTTTTCGCCTTCACCTTATAAATATCCTAAACCCTCACATGTTCAAAAGAAAACAAAGGACTGACATGTATATAATAGAGAGTGATCTCCCTTGACACCTGTAAGTATTTGAGTTTCATTTCAAATTCAAAGAAACATTGATAGCTACCTGGTAGGTTTGTGTTGTATCCATTGCCAGCCACCAATGAAAGTCTCTTATAATAACATAGCTTTGTTATATTTTGGTGATTAAATGGTTACTGTTGTTTAAATTGACTTGACTCAGATGTGTGAAGTTCATGTCTATGTGATATCCTCACCTTTGTGCCAGCTGCAAGACTTTATCAAACTGTGTGTAGGTCTCTGTCACCACCAGGGTTCCCTTCACACCTGCCTGGGGGGACCAGAAAAAATTTTTTAAAAATTTAACCTGAGATATTAATAATAATAAATGCAGATCTATCTTCTAACAACCACAGGATATGTCTGTAGGTTATTATCTTTATTGCTTTACATACTATAAACAGTCAGGGCCATTTAAGGAAATGCCAGGTTTGGATGGTGGAATAAAGCTGAGTTCCAGAGAAGAACCACTGACCTGCGGAGAGTACCTGTCTGTCGCTACATGTAACTAAGAAGGGTAACATATAAACGGGTGCCTGGTTATGTACCTTAATTATGAATTTCTCACTCATCTACAGCACATTATCATTTTTGAAAACATCAAATATTTCCCATTTTAGTATTAGATATATGTACATATTCAAGACAATTCAAAACATGTATAGAGTTTTCTATCAGGTATATGACTTAATAGATATTATGTCCACTTGTGCGTACCTGTTTTGCTTGCTGAATCACAGTGTCAATATCCTGCAAACAGACAATTTAATATAGGTTATCTGTCTAGAGACAATATGAACTACAAATGTCTATAAATCAGTGTTCCAAATGCTTTTGACTCTGTGCAAATCAACTGCAACAATGACAAAATATCAAATCAAGAAGTGATTATCCGAACTGTGACATTTCAACAACAATTACATAAATAGAAGAAATAAAGCATGTTGGGTAATTTGACAACTAAAATGATTAAGGTTTTAGGATTTTATTATGGAAAGGTTGTTATGATTATATAGTTAGGTTACAAGTTTTGCTGTAAAATAAATGGTGTGACCTTTACTTTGAAAAAAAAAAGAAAGAAAAAACAGATGTGTCCCTGCTGAGCGTCGAATGCCTTTGGCTGAAAATAGGCACGACTACAAACATCGACAGTAATCTATGAATTAGTACATTTGGAAGGACCATACTCCTGGAGCATGACGATCGTTTTAACAATTTTATCTATGATAAAGAGTGAATAACAAGGAAGCACGTCCGTCTTTCTGTGATTAGAGACGTATGATATGTCAGTATACCGAACCTCGTATCACGTGTATCTACAGGATCAACATGGCTACCTCACCTCATCAAAAGACTTATCCACAAGATGGCAATGGCAATCCACCATGGCTATTCCGTGGGACGGACCGACCGTCTCGTCTACAACACCTGCCATATTTCTTAATCTGCCAGCAAACTGATTTCATTTATCTTTGACACCTTCCATCGCAACAAATAAAGGGACATAACTCCTATTAAAATTAGTGACTGTTTTCATATTTGAAATTAAGGATGCACGTACCTGAATATTTTGCGTGTACGTCTTAATGAGAGGATTGAAATGCGGAACTAAAACATGATTGGTAACTGAGATTCTTAAGTCACTCTTTTCATACTAGAATCGAATACACGAAGTACAAACAAGATTTTGAATGAAGGTTAGGAAATGTATATATATATATACATATGTGTGTGGTTCCGGTTTCTGTCCCGGAAAAATACTATGCGAAGGATTGGTAGGCCGGGATTTTAAAAATTAATGTTTGCTTGCTTTTGGCACTGACCTCTTAAGTGTGGTCTAAAGCCAGAAGTCCTCCCTACATAAAGACACGAAATTTTTAGCAAATCATGTATGGATCGACCTTCAAACGATGTTTTTAATACATTCCAAACATAATTATGAATAATACATCGATTGATAGATAAAAGATACACCAGAACCCTTAAACACCTTAAAATAAAAAAAAAATAAAAAAATAAATGATGATGATGATGATGATGATGATGATGATGATGATGATGATGATGATGATGATGATGAAGAAGAAGAAGAAGAAGAAGAAGAAGAAGAAGAAGATGATGATGATTGATGATGATGATGATGATGATGATGATGATGATGATGATGATGATGATGATGATGATGATGAGTCTTTGATAATTTTATCTACAGCTAACAATAATTAAAACTTGAAGACGAGTTTTCTGAAAACCTGGTGTCAAATTGAAACAAATTGAAGAAATTTTTCGTCACACACCTCAGATGTTACACATAGAGGACCACATCATGAGCCTCTTTTAATTCATGACGTAACGTCATAGTTCATATGATGAAATTACAATCCATTTCTGACTGGCGATGTAACGAAAAAACGTCACAGAGCACACCACACTAGTGACATATATACAGAATACACGGTTAGTGTCTTTACATAAGCTGCCCAGGTTGAAGAAAGACAAGCGAGCCTTCATTGAGCCATTTCTCATTTTTTTTTTGTCCCGATCCTAATGTAGCTTTTGTCTTAAGACACTGATTCTATTTATGCAGTAAAACTCGCTGAAAATTCATACTATCGAAACTCCGAAACTTTTTTTTTTTTTTTTAACATTCGTCCTTTGATTTCAAAGAAAGAGTTTTTGGTGAAAAGTTTCTGCATGCGGCGCTTTTGTACGTCATACTGTTTAGTGTCCTGTTTTTAAGATGCGATAAAGTTGCAATTCGCTATGTTTGCATATCTAATTTTCATAAACACAGAATACAACTAACCATACATAAATCTGCGAAGTGGTTTTATGCATGAAAGTGCATACAGCTATTTCATACTTCATATATTCTAAACCAGAAATATCTTGATGACTCCTAAGAAGCACATAACAATGGTTTGAAATAGATTTTTGTATTCTGTCATCAACAACAATCAATGACCGGATATAATTTTAGTCTGATGTGAAGTTGGATATTTGAGTTAGTGGATTTGAAACATCAATACAGACTTGCGTCATAGAGTGTGGTATTCGTCAGCTGTCATCACACTCGTCCAGAAATTGCTAAAGCCGAACCACTGTTAGGGAATGATGAGACGGATAATCGATATAATGATTTTTACTGTTAAATTTCGAAGCGGAACTAGTTTGAAATTCGAGATTGTAAAGTTTTACTTGAGTGGAACAACAAAACCACCAGCTAGTTATTACATTTTTAAATATCGACGTATACATTGTTGAAATATATACGTAATATAATCTGGTGTATATACCATGATTTTTGAAAAATCGGAATGTCATTGAAATCGGTAACATAATGACTAAATTTAAAAATTGAAATTCATACATGTATATAATTGTGATCCATCAATCATTTATCAATATTGACTAAATTGGTATTTTCATATATGTTTACAATAGTAAGGCAAACAGTTTAAGATATTTGTGTCTCCAACGTAAAAGAGTCACATTTGTTTATTGTTTTTTGTTGTTGTTTTTTTCTCACCTTTTTGTGTTTCTACTTTTTTTCTTTTGATACTGCATTTGCTGGGTTTACGAAAGTAAATAGTTATAACTGTAATATATACATTTATGTCAATATTTTGAAAAGCTGATTAATTCTTCAGTAGGTCTATAATCCTTATTTTATTGTTTGTATGAATATAGTAAGGGAAAGTTTTCATCTCAAGCACGTTGCAAAAGAAGTGACGGAACTACCTACTTTAATTTTATAACTCCTCCATTCAAGTAATGAAAAGCTAACACCATTCTTTAGACCCAAACCCCGGACTGACATTATAATATTCATGATAGTGTGGGGGTGTTATTTTCTATTGTACGTTTTTTTATGGCTCCGTAGATACCTTACATCACTGGTAACCACACGTAAAACATCAGCGGAGGATTATCAGACAAGAAATACGCGCAAACTTTTAGTACTTTACTTCAGTACTGTGGTGTTTCCGTAAAAAAAACTCGAACAGAGAACATAATTGGAAAATCTTATCTTTAAAAGAAATGGAAAAAGCTGAAAAAAACACGAATTTTCTTCCTATTTAGGATTTTTTAAAATTATTTTCCATATTTTTGTATGCATACAGAATTACACATGTAACTGGGGCATGTACATTGATATAGGTTAAGTATAACATTTTATATTTGAAACTATCTAGTAATCTCAGTTAATTTTTTTAGAAAAAAAGAAATTATATTCCAATGATATTAAAAATCATGGAAACACATTAAGGAAATCCCATCTAATTATTACTGCCATATATGTACATATGTACATGTATATATATATCTATATTAAATATATATACATATATATATACATTTATCACACCTAAGATATTACGTAAACCGCGAGAATGTCCCATTTTGTAAATGAACGTAGATATTGCGATATATACATTTAAATGTACACCATGTTAAACATGTGAGCCTTTTAATTCATAAAGTTTAAATGGCCACTCCACTTGTCTGGCCCACACCGTGAAATGATTGATTTCATTTATTTACACGTCGCCATGCTACACCTGTGACGTAGTACGGGCACCCCGAGTTGAACTCGATGAAATGTGACATACCATTTCCGAGGGATTAGGCGTGTTTACCTGTGTCGGACAGAACGTATACAGGATTTCTTGTCCAGGCGTATAAGGTGAGTAATGATAATTTATTCTATGTCCATAGCACCATATATATATATTTATCTTTTTATTTCTAATTTTGTCGAATATGGCTCCTTTTTCATACATTTTAAGTGTTTGTATCCTTACTATGTATATATAATACCGTACAGAAGTCATTGATTGGGCCGGGATAATAGAATCATATGTGCCCTGTAGTATATGTAGAGCTATACATACCTAACACACACATGTACTCTACCCCATATAGTGCTACCGGTCAGTGTATCGATTTACGCTAAACAACAGATTTTAAGACTTTTGTATTATTACAACGTCTTGAGTCATGCTATTCATATATATATTAAGCAATTCATTCTACACGGTCCCCAATTTATGATATGAGCTGTACATGTATGTATACCCCGGCAAATACACTGTTGACCCAGTAGAATATTTATAAAAAAAGATTATATCATTATTAGCCGATATATAACGTATTCCGATAATATCTATACAGTTCACGTGTCACGCAATTTCTTTGTGTGTTTTTTATTGATTTTTTAAGACAGTGTGTTCAACAAACATCCATTGAGGTGTGATAATGGTGATGGTATCATTTGACCCAGGTCGGTGGCGGTTTTTTTTTATCTTGTTCGAGTATGTGTTTGGAGAGAGGGGGGCGGGGTTGGGATGGAGTCTCAAACTTTCAATCCCTTCCCTCCTTCATTCCCCACCTTGAAGTCTTCCCTATGAAAACCTGAATCGTGCCACCTCCCACTTTCCCTTATCTTATCATATCACTCCCTCACCCCCGTCCCCACCCCGTCCCCACTCCGTCCCCACCCACCATCACCCTGATAAAATATTGAACCCGTCGCTGTATGTATAACGACCTGCTTACTTGCGGTTTTTTTTTTATCTTAGTGAGGAAGTGTTGTTTGTCTGTAGTAGTGTTTTAATAGTTAATGGAATCATGATCGATTGGATTTCTCGATCACAATGTCGACAGATCAAAAACAAATACGGTTAGAGTGCTGTGTGTTTGTTTATGTTGATCAAACCCTATGATAGAACCTGGAATATGTCTTGGCCTAATCCTAGTAAAATCTCAGTGGACGAAAGGAAGGGCCAATCTGCTGATTCACCGACTTTAAAATAATACGATAATTTCATTTAAAAGAACGAGACGGGACAATTGGAAAAAAAACTTTCATAATTACACACACACATACATAAACTGTGTGATAAGATAATGGCGAATTTCGTAGAGAGACTGAACAATTAAGCTAATTGGAAAATGAAATAAAATGAAACAGGTCGACAATTTTTACTATCTAAAATCGTTTTGAAATTTTAAAAAATATGACAAACTATTTAAATAATATTAATCTCCCTTTATTACGCTGATAGAAGTACGGCTAGGCCTTAAGGTGGGAAGAAACCAGGAAAAGAAATCTGCTTCGAAGAGCGGGTGACCCATTTCTAAAGAATCGAACCGTGGTCGCCTCAGTGAAAATAACTATATCACTGATTAATATAGGATGGTGAAAGTCACAGTGGTGGACCCTGTCTTTCATACTGCTATGTTCAGAGCTGCAATCACACATCGAGGATCTGATTCAGTTGTGTAAATTCAATCAGTATTCCCGATTATATCACATATCATGTAAACGGAAACTGGAGTTCAAATTCTGCACACGCAACAATAGATCCCGTTTCTACGCCATTATACCCTGTAATTCTATCGCATATTAGAAGTGACAGGAAGGTATAGCTTAAGGTGAGCGCATTTCTAGAAGCGAATAG